ACATTTTTGTACATCTTTTATAATAAAATCTGAGTATTTTAAACACAGTGAAAGCTGAACCCCACACAGATTAAAAATAAAAAAAAAGTCTGTTAAATGTAGTTGAGCATTCTAAGTGTATTTCAATGTACTGTATTTTTACATAGGCACTTAAATCCGTCTTAATATCAGCCTCCTGTCATCCCCTGTAGAGTAGCAATTTAGTGTGGGAGAGAGAGGTACAGGACTAGTATCTATTCAGACCCTGTTGGATAGAGTAAACTAAATTTAAAGAATAGCATCCATCACCTATACCCTTTAACAAGGTTGTCCCTGAACAGACAGGGCCCCAAATGTCAGTACCTTTCGGTACAGGGTTCAGCTCAGTCCAGTCGTAGCCTGCCATAGACTTTAAAGCACCATGGAGTGATGCTGGACACTGCACTGGTCCCTCCTGAGTGCACTAAAGCTCTGAAAGGATCACACTGCTGAACAGCCCCATGTGTAAAAAGCCTAACAGAGAAAAGTTGTGTCATTCACCTGGCTATGCCGTCTAACAAACGATTATGAATGACAAAGAATCACGTAAGTGTATTTCAGATGGGAATTTGTTTGGCTGGAGTTCAAATTAAGTGGAAAAAAAAAATAAATAAATATCAGCACAATATTTACAGTCACTGGTTATGTCCCTTGTGTGGATATCTCTTCCGAATCGCATACTATCCTGAAATCTTCCTCCAACACCTAACCCAGGAGCCAGGTCGCCATGGCAACTAGAAATTGCGTCCTGGCGCCTAGGTTCACACACTGCCTCCCACTGACTTCACTGCAAAAGTCGAGTTTATTGACGCTACTGCAAAAATTGCGTCTATTGACTCCAATGCCAAATCGCCTCCCATTCACTTCAATGCAAAAACTGTCAATAGCAATCTTATGTGAGAAATTATCTCCACATGCCACGATCACTTGCGAGTCAGGAACTCACCGCTACAAACTCCCACAGAACCCTTTTCGTAATAGCATTCAAAACACAATGTGTGTGGATCACATCTGTTTGATCAACCTCAATAGAAACAAAATATCTAGCCTGTCATGTGAATCTGAGTTTGAAAAAGCATCCAGAATCGCACATATGTGAACCAGGGCAGCTCCAGTCACACCTGGGCATTTTGGTTGGGAAATCACATCGTGTAAACATTGTCGCCCAAAAGCTGCCTTGCCCCAGGCGCTGACAACCCACGCTACACTAAATAAAAAAAAACACAAAACAAAAAAAAAAAAAAAAACCTGGCTCCTAACTTTTTTTAGCTGATGCCTAAATTCAAAGCAAATTTCTCAAGTCCAGACCTAGCCCCACCCTCGTAATCTTGCAGTTTGGCGGGGTTAATAGGACTCAGGGGAGCAGTGACAGGCACTCATCAAGACTGCCTAATATGCCAGCCCTTTCCACCCAGCTCCACAATTCGTTGAAGCCGTAAGTACATCTATGACTGAAAAAAGTGATCTAAGAATAGAGGATGGGCTGATAACTGAAAGGTTTGCCAGCTCCATTCATAAATCCTGTTTTATTGACAGAAGCTGTAGTATGGCTCCTATGAATGACGGAGTTTGGGCAGAAAGGATGGGCATAATCAGACTCACTTGAGTAACTGCCCTCTCAGTTTTATTAACCCTGCCACATTCGAAAACTATCGTGAGATGGGGAGATGGAGTATTTCAATTAAGAGAAATGAAATTAGTACTACTGACTATAAGTAATGTCCCCTGTGCTGACTTTTTGTCCCATTGGGGAGATTTTTCTTCATTTCCTGTTCCATAGTCAAAACAGGAAGCAATAGGAAATCCCTGCAAATTAAGGGAATCCCCTGGGGCCCCACAGGTCACAAGAACTAATGTCCTCATTGGAAGATTTCCCCTCTATTACTTTTCTGAGGACAACCTTTCATTGGTAATGGTAAACAGGACAAATAGAGGATGAATCGCCCTAACATGGGGGGGGGGGCACAGACAGTAATAAAAACTCTATAGGTGTTCTAAGCCATCTCCACTCTAACTAAAATAAAAAACGTTTTTTGTTTTGGATATACTTATATTTTAAAAACCACCCTGATAACTTGCAACAAAAAAATGACAACCGTAACATAGAAAAAAAAAAAAAAAAGACAGACTTTCATTACACAGATGTTTTTTGTATTTAGATCAGTGATTTTAAAACTCTTCAGGACTTACAAACCTGTTACAAATGACACCAGAGCCTCACATTTTAATCAATTAAAAACAAAACAAATGCAATGACTTTATAAATACATTCTACACCCATTTTGCATTTTATATCTGAACAGAACATTTTGCATCAATTCTAATCAATTTCTGAGGAAAACAAAACCTTAGTTTGTTATAGTGTATTTGCCCAGTGAGATAATCACTGGCTAGAAGTTTTGGCATTCTGTTCTTAGCCTAAGCATCATGACCGCAAGAGGACTTATTATTCAAAGCGTCTGCAATAAGCTTCTCAATAGCACTCATCACTATAAATAAAAGATCTATATGTCTATGAACAGTTTTACATTCAAGCTTTTGTTTGATAGCTGCCACGATCAAAGAAACGGCTATTGTTCAGGTTTTTGTACGGCCTGCAGGTCACTAAAAATAAAAACAAAAGTCCACACTTTTTGCAGATATATGCCACAACAGCATCATTGACCCACAATAGAGTTTAAGTGGGCAGGAATTCAAGGCATTATTTTTAAAAATGGTAGAATTGCAAAATGTGTAAAAACGGTCATTTTAGGTTGAATATATTTTTATTTGCCTTTTTGTTTTACATTTTCGAGATCTAGGTAAACAATGTCATACATTCCAGGAGTCATCAGAAGGGGAGGAGGGGATTTCTTATCCAAGCACACCCTCCTGCCTGCATGCCTGAGCTAAGGAAAGATGGAATCTAGGAAGTAAATGCTACTCCTCAAGATGGCCACGCCTAGAAAAGTGAGGGGGTGATGTAAAGTAATTTCTCAGCAAATACAGCATGCAGACACGGACAGATGGGCGAGTTTGCTTTGAATATTAAAAATGAATTCGAGTTTTTGATTTGTGGTGCCCAGATGCAGTGTAGTTGCGCTTTAATAAAGGGAGATAGGAGCTCACTGGATTTCTGGAAAAGTATTCAGGTATTTTTTTGTACATGCAGTGCATTTAAAGAGACAGCGCATAGAAGACAGCGTATGTATAAAACATGCACTGCAGAAATGTGCTTTTTATTTTCTCCAGAGATATGATATAAGAGAAAAACAAAGGGCCGTGTAAACCTAGTTTTAGGACAGCGCTCTGAAAACCTTTTGTTCTGAATGCAGATGTCGGTGACTTGTCGATTAAGGTCTGACAAACAACTGCTCAGTCTGCTTTCAGCACATTGAAGCTGAATGCAATTAGTTCTTCTGAGTGATGTCACCTCCCTGGATCAACCCTGACCAATAGACAGTTCAACCACCAAAAGTCCCTTACATGTTTGTTGAACACATGACTTTTTCAAGTTCCATTCCAAGCAGATGGAGGTGCAGAAGAGCACATAATTTTGGGCCAAATATACATCATACTAGGAAATGTTTAGAAAAACAGGAAATTATTAAGCTAACCAAACTGAAAAATTAGCTCATTGTGGTAAAGGAATATACTGCAGAATTTGAAGTATTATTCTGTCCAAATACACAGTATAACAATTGTTTTGCTGGAAATAAAGGAAACTATTTACACTTGCAACAATATAAACTAACTTAATGCAACCCCACAACTGTAGAAAGACTTGTCAGTGAGCACCCTGTTTGAGTAGAGAGCAATATAGCCATGCAGAGTAAAAATACTGCTTGGCTGCATTTTAAAAATATTGAATACGGACACAGAAAATTACTGGTGAAATTGTATACAAATGTAATGGCAAACAGCACATACCTGCTATCACCCAGGACTGGTACATTGTGTGCATGCTCAAAGGATGCATCAGTAGTCGTCGAATCCTTGCCCGTGCTGGATGAGTATGGCTAGAGATTGGTAACTGGAACCTCATATCTTGCCATGGTTCCACTGCATTTTAATAAAAAACAAATTTTGTATTACTATGAAATTGGAACCTTTTACTACAGACAAATACATGGTGTATCTCACAAGAATATTTTGATATACAAAATGTACACATATCATGAAATAATGAATAGAAGCACATAAAAAACTAAAAACTTAATGCAACCCCACAACTGTAGGACTGTACATTGTTTGTGATGCGTATTCATGCTAAAATCCTGATGAATCCAGTAGTCTATACTAGAAAAATACCGCTTTTACCCAGTATGCATGAAATATTTAGTAAAACTAAGAGTATTGGTAAAAACGTAACTGGAACCTCATATCCCAGCATGCCATGGTTCCACTGCTAGTGCCTTACATAAGAAAAAAAATTTTGTATCTATGAAACACTTTATCCAATATTGTGGCTACTTAAGAATATTTCAGTAGTAAACTCTTCCATAAAAAAAAAAAAAAAAAAAAAAAAAACCACACACTCTCTACAAGGTAAATGTCATGATGGGCTACTATGCATTGCATTCTAGTACATTATGATAACTTACCTTTACACAAAGCCCTCCAGCGGCATGCTGGAACCGCTGACAGGGCTTTCATCTTCCACCGGTCTTCTTTCTAGGTTTGAGGTCTCTGGCCATTTGAATGGCCAAGCCATGGCCGCAGCACAGAGCCCTGAAGGGACGGTATGATTATGTCATCCCTTCAGAGTACATGTGCCTGTGACGACACCGGCTGCAGAAACAGTGAATATCTTGTAAACTCGTAAGAGATATTACTTGTACCTAGAGGCAAGCTTTATTATAAGCTCTCCTGTAGGTACAAGTGTCCAAGCAGTGTTTACTACCACATTAAACAAAGTGTAGTATGTGGCTAATTTTGTAAGAGTAACCCTGGCGTTCACGCCTTCATCCTCCTTCTCAGATATTAAGCTCTCTTCTACAGGGTCACAGATAGAAGGAAAAGCCTAAACAAATTGTAACTCTTCCCTCAGCTATCCAAAAAGTATACTGATAGTATTTAGGCTTTATACCAATTTGAAATAGAAACAAAAGAAAAGTAGTTTTACCAATGCACAGCCAGCACTGATGGATATCTACTGCAAATGAAGTTATGAGTCCTAAGCGCAGGTCATGTTTCAATGTCCAAGCATTAGTGTTAGATCTCAGATCCCAGCCTACCAATGACCCATTAACTGTGGCATAGGCAAGCACAGACTGTGAGCCTGAATTGAACTGATGCATATCCACCACACAGCCATCCTCTTGTAGATCCAATGACCTAGACAATGAAAGAAAATATGAGTTTTTTCCAAAATCAAAGAAAACACCCAACAATGGGCCACAGGAAGATATGGTAACATAAGATAAGTCGTACCCCAATAAAGAAAACTTGTGGAAATATGAAAGCTGGAATGTAGCGGTCATGGGTAATTAACAACTTAGTACTTAGCTTTAGTTTTCATTTATGAGGTTCAATTCAGAAAGCTAATACACCAGTAGAAGACTACTCATTTTAAAAAAAGTGTTATTTTCCTGGTAAACCAGCCAAACACTTGCTTCACAGGTGGCCCTATCATCACAACTTTTGAATGAAAAATCAAAAGGAGCTGGGCAAAAATACAATCGCCAGCACTGCTGATTCCTTCATCTGCACTGTATAGCATGGATAGAGGAATCTGTTATATCTTTTCCATTTAGTCTGCAGGCTGAAAGAAAAAAAAAAAGATCATTGTAGAGCCAGCTTTAGAGTGCCTGAAGGCACCTGCTCTTCTCACCCACTAAAAGGATTCCAATTTGTACTCCTCATTTTCTTATAAGCAGAAATGTGAGAGAACTGGCATGGCTGCTATGGGAAACAAGAACAGTTCTACTGTTGCGTGTTGGATAAATAAAACCCAGACATAAGGAAGCAGTCAAGGTTGAATCTGAAGCGAATGTTTTGACCACTCCAACAGCATTAAAGTAAAATTCCAGGTTAATTTTACTTTAAATAGTCCTTTTGGGCCAAGCTTGCCCAAACAAACCATTTTCATTACAAAGCAATACAACTGCTGTGTAAGCTGTAATGAACTGTAGTAGCATTAGCTACATACAGTAAGCAGTGATGTGTTCCGGTGACTGCTGCCAGAATTAAAGGAGAGTTGAGCTTAATGCTAAAAAAAAAAAAAAAAAACTGACAGTTTTAACCATTTTCTAATCCATCCAATCCTAAACTAAAAGAAAAATTGGGATTCAAATATGCTTTTACCATATATCAGTGTTCATCAAGTGTCATAGCTGGAGAATATGATAAGCAGGGTACTTAGTATACTGTAAGTGTAAATCATTTGTAACACATAGGAGAACAACATCAGTTATAACTACAGTCATATAAAATGGTAAGAGAACTGGATAAAAATAGGCGCTATGGAAAATGCTCTCAGACAAGCACCTTAGTGAAGGTGCATCTTTAATGGGTGAGACAAAGTAGCAAATATAATAAAATTGACCAGCCTGAAGTGGACAATGTGACTCCAATAGACGGCCCGTCCGCTCTGAGGGGAGCTGAGATCAGAGAATTCTCCTGTTGACTTCAAATCACGTGGTGTCAGCGTACCGGCGTCCCGGGTGGTGTCACCATGGCAAGCGAAGGCAGTGTCTGGCATTGGCTTCAGCTGGGAGCATATGTAGGGTTACCAAGACGACATGTTTCGCGCAGTTGCGCTTTGTCAAGTCTCTGGCAACCCTGGCTGGCGGCCATTATATAGAAGACCATTAAAGGAAAGGCTGGCTGAGTGTATGTGGTGGGGGATTGATGTGTATAAGGAAGTTACATCAAGTGATATCCAATGATACCCATGTTTCCACTGGTAATGGCTGAGGATTTCTATCACATGACTGGAGTCTGATGTAGGATGGCAATTGTACAACTAATGGTTGGAGGAAATGGTCAATGTACTTGGAGAGGCCATTAGTAAAACTATTGGTGCTTGCAATTATAGGGCGGCCAGGGGGATGAGTAGCAGATTTGTGTATTTTTGGCAAATTATAAAAATACGGAGTACTACAAATGGGGGGGGGGGGGGGGGGGGGGGGAGAAGGAGGAAAGACTTTTCTCTCATTAATTACACTATCATTATATGCTTTGTCAATGAGTAATTTGAGGGCTATTTGATACTCTGGTAAGGGATCTGCCTTTAGTAACTGATATGTGTCGATATCAGAAAGGAGACGAATGGACTCATTGATGTAATCACTGGTGTGTTGTACAACAAGACTTCCTCCTTTATTAGCTTGCTTAATGACAATGTTTTTATTATTCTCTAAGTTTTTTTAAGGCTTGTGCTTCGGAATTGCTCATGTTATAACTAATAGGTGGATTATTGCACAAGCTAAGAAGATCTTTATAAGCTGCCTGGTAGAAGGTCTCAATGTATGGTCCCTTGGACTGTACTGGAAAGAAACTGTATTTGGATTTAAAATTGGTGTGAATGATATCTGGGTCTAAGAAATCTTGGGTGTTTGCGTGTTAGAAGGATGGCTGCATGTTATTTAACAAGTATGACTTATAGTCCCTGGAACTGGGATCCTCCAGTGTGTTTTTGTTTTTTTTTTTTTACATACAGCATTGTCTTCTTTTAACACTTGTTTTTTAATCCTCACTGTTACCATGTATATATTCTGTTTACTCAATTACGAATACATGTTATTACGCATCTATTGCGTTTATTTGATTACGAACACATGAGCTACCTAATTTGATAGCTGTATTGATTTTACTATATTCCTTTTAGCCATACCTTTTATTCAGTCATTTTTATTTTCTTATGCCAAGCTTTCACTTCTCCCCACCCCCTTCTTTGTCCATATACCCATAATTACCTCACTATAAACGCAATTTTTGACATAGCTTCCATGAACCAGCGATGTCATTTTTAACTTAGAGTTCTTCCACAAGAATAGTTTTTTTTTTTTTTTTTTTTTTATTGTTGTATTACCTTTATTCTGCCAAAGATAAAAGTATATCATGCTTTCCAATAGTGTTCTTATACATATCACTTTTTATAATTTGCAATTTGTACCTTTAAATTTGTATTCAACATTGCTTCAGGACGAGCCGCCCGCTCTGACTGACACCCCATCCCCTGCTAATTACACTCAGCCAGCCTTCCCTTTAATGGTCTTCTATATAATGGCCGCCAGCCAGGGTTGCCAGAGACTTGACAAAGCGCAACTGCGCGAAACATGTCGTCTTGGTAACCCTACATATGCTCCCAGCTGAAGCCAATGCCGGACACTGCCTTCGCTTGCCATGGTGACACCACCCGGGACGCTGACACCACGTGATTTGAAGTCGACAGGAGCATTCTCTGATCTCAGCTCCCCTCAGAGCGGACGGGCCATCTATTGGAGTCACATTGTCCACTTCAGGCTGGTCAATTTTATTATATTTGCTACTTTGTCTCACCCATTAAAAGATGCACCTTCACTAAGGTGCTTGTCTGAGAGCATTTTCCACAGCGCCTATTTTTTCTAGTTCTCTTCTCATGCAAATGATTAACAAGGCAGCAGTGGTGAGCTCATGATTAACTGTTCACATGTTTCCACCTGGAGTGGCCTCTCTGCGCTCATTTGTATGAGTTTCCCATATAAAATGGTAATCAATTCTAAAGACATTTATACCTGCTCTGCAGTGGATGAATTTTTGGAGACTTTGGTGGTTTTGAGGTTTCAATCCCAAGAAGTTGAACGTTGCCATTATCAGATGCCACAGCTAAGTAATGCGATCCCTGGCAAAATGTCAGTGTCTTAACATGCCCACCGATGCGAGAATAAGTCAATATTGACCTAAGTCAGAAAATAGAGATTTCAATATTCATAGCAGTCAGGTCAGCAGGCATGAACAACACAAAGCACACAATTAGTAGAAGCAAAAACATAATACAACTATAAAGCATGCAAGATTGCGATTTGCTTTGTTTAAACTATTTCAATGCAGCATTTACTAATATACAGATGCACAATAAATGCAGGAGGTTAAAGTGGAAATCCAATAACTTCTTTATTTTTTATTTTAAGGTCAGACCCAAGAGGTGAGATGTGAGTTTTGACAAACTCAGGGAATAATAAAGCAGTATTAAACTCAAAAACAAAAAATGTAATATATTGCAGCTTGCAAATTCTTAGATGTGGTGGCTGCATTATACTGAATTTTTTTGAGACTTTTTTTTTTTTTGACCTGGTGACTCAGCCAGAAAAATTACTTCCAGTCTTGGGGTGGCTCCTCCATCCATGAAGGAGCAACAAAGTCATCCTTGGACAGCAGCACTGTCTGGAGAGGGTAGAGTTATGGCGGTCATACATAGTTTGATTTTTTTTCACCAACCGATGTGTAATTTAATTAAAACTATCAAATCCAAAATCGAATAGCTATAACTTCCTTTCCAATCAATTTTGGCTCAGTTTTGATCGGACTTGATAAAACGGAGTCGATTGGCCAGGGAAGAACATTTCCAATCCTTTTGCATAATTCCACAGCACTGAGATGCTTTAGTATGATCGAACTTCAAACGATCAGAATATTAGATTACATGGTGGAAACGGATGCAATTGCTAACTTATAAATGTGAATATAGACTGTGCTACCAAAAATGTGAATCAAGATTAGTATACAGTTTGCCACAGGTAAAAGTGCAAAAGATAAAACACCAGAAAATATAACTTATGTCCAACGGTGCAATAAAATACCATTCAAATAATAGTTGCTTAAAAAAAAACAAAAAAACAAACAAAAAAAAAGGTAGGTAGAACCCGGCTGATTGGTTACATCTAGGGATGCACCAATACCATTTTTTTTTTTAAAATCGGCGAGTAAGAGTACTGATAGTTTTAGTCAAGTACTCACCGATACTTTGCGGTGCGATTTGCTTTAATGGACGCAAATTGCACCGCAAAGAATCATGTGATGGTGCACGCCAATCAGATGCCATCTTGCCCAAACTATCATCGCTGCAAGGAGAGGAAAGAAAGCGGCAGGGATGTCAAATCCCTGTCACTTTCTCTCCTCTCCTATCACTGAGACTCAGCATGGCTCCCACACTGCTCCCATGTGAACTCGAGCTATGATAAAGTTCACACAGAAGAAGTGGGGAAACCGCATGCGGTTAGGACAGAAAACACAAAAACTACAAAAACACACTGAAAAACGCATCATAATGCAGCAACACTAGTGTGAATCTGTGCAAAAAGAGTGCACAGAACGAAGTGTTCAGGTGTGTGAACTATTAAAGGTGCATTTTATCATGAAGGATTAATTAATTAACGAGGTCGGAGGAAGTAGAGAGGAGACATTGATGGAAGAGGCAGCAGAGGAGGTGCTTCTTCATATCTGATCTATGCATATTTGCATGATCCCCCCCGATGGTTGAGACCGGTATTGCTGGAGACTGCTAACCTGTCCTGATGGCTGTGATTAACACTGCTGGAGACTGGTAACCTGTCCTGGATGGATGACCCCTGGTGGCTGATCCTGCCTTGACGACTTCATCCGTGTTAAAGGTTCCATTCCCTGAGTACCAAGGAGTAGGTCTTATATACTCCAATGCACAATCATTTGTGCTATCCGTTTAGTGCATTGTACACCTATTTTCACAGCCACAGCAATCACGGTTATTTGCTTTATCTACTATATGGACTAGAGCACTATTGTCACCATTTGCACCTAAGAGATGATATCCTAGACTGGTCTTTCACCTCGTAGCGTTGCTAAACGCCATTTCTCTGATTATTACTGCATTTGTGTCCACTCTCATATATGTGCATATATAAGGACTAGAGTATGATTGTCATTATCTGCTCCTGTGAGATTATACCTCAAACTGGTCTTCTTATCTTTTAACAGTGTTATATGCCAGTTTTGAGCATCTTTTGCCTACTTTTATACATGTACATTTACTCATCAATGCTATTCTAGCGCTGCATATTTTTTACTTGTTTACATATTTTCTTTGGAGGATTTTGAGGTTTCACTCTTTATGCTGGCAGCTCTCCACTCTTACCTTAACCCAGCGCTTATATATTTTGTGTTTTATATATGTTAAAACAATGTGCTGATTTGTAAATGTTCAGCATCAATAGATTGATTTTGTGATTTAAATTTGCACAGTGGATTATTTTTGGTGATCTGCACTTTATCTAATGCACGTTGATTAAAAAGATGAATGGTTAACGAAATACTGGCATTTCTATTATATTTGCACTTGAACAAGGGGAATTATTTATAGAGTAGAGAGCACTACAGAAATATACTTTTTGAGATGATTACGGTTTGATCTGGTCAATTTCAGCAGTTCAGATAAAAACATTCATACTTACCGTATTTTTTCGCTCCATAAGACGCACTCCCCCCCCCCCCCCCCCAAAAAAAAAAAAGGGGGGGGGGAAACTGTCAGTGTGTCTTATGGAGCGAATATAAAGCGGCCGGTCCGGTATTTATGCCGCCACCATGGCAGAATACCGGGCCCGCTCAGCTGTTCTCTGCGGCAGGAACTCACCTGTTCCTCGGTCCAGCGCTGTAGTCTTCCAGCGCCGGCTTCTTCCCGCCCCGGCATCTGTAACAGCCGGGCGCCCACTGCGCATGCATGCGCGAGAAGCGCTGCGCTTTGTGAATGGTCCAGTGTCTTCTAAGACACATGACAGGTCCCAAAAGACACCGGGCCATTAACAAAGCTGTCAAAGTCGGGTGCCCACAGTATAGGAAGGAGAACTCTGCAGAAGTGGGAGCAGGTACCTGTCAAACTCAGGTACCTGCTCCCCCTCCCTCCCTCAAGGTCCGCAGTGTCTGGTCCACCTCCTGCACTGTGTCCGCAGTGTCTGGTCCACCTCCTGCACTGTGTCCGCAGTGTCTGGTCCACCTCCTGCACTGTGTCCGCAGTGTCTGGTCCACCTCCTGCACTGTGTCCGCAGTGTCTGGTCCACCTCCTGCACTGTGTCCGCAGTGTCTGGTCCATCTCCTGCACTGTGTCCGCAGTGTCTGGTCCATCTCCTGTACTGTGTCCGCAGTGTCTGGTCCATCTCCTGTACTGTGTCCGCAGTGTCTGGTCCATCTCCTGTACTGTGTCCGCAGTGTCTGGTCCATCTCCTGTACTGTGTCCGCAGTGTCTGGTCCATCTCCTGTACTGTGTCCGCAGTGTCTGGTCCATCTCCTGTACTGTGTCCGCAGTGTCTGGTCCATCTCCTGTACTGTGTCCGCAGTGTCTGGTCACTTCCTGTACTATGTCTGCAGTCCATTGGTTCAGAATATTTTTTTTCTTGTTTTTCTCCTCTAAAACCTAGGCGCGTCTTATGGTCAGGTGCGTATTATGGAGCGAAAAATACGGTAATTCATACACATTATGAGAATGAAACATTCTATTTTTTCCTCATGACTTAAGAGGAGTTAGCTGATTATTATACCTTGTGGTTGTGGTTTTTCCCTCCATCTTCTGACTGTTCCAGATTTTCACTGTTCCATCGTTTGAGCAAGTGGCAAAAATGGAATGTTCATCAGAGACCCGAATTCTGTTTACTGGGCCCTTGTGTTCATGTAAGTGTGCCACCAACAAGCCTTTAGGATGCCACCCTGAAAAGACAACAAGCACATATCACAGTTTTGCAGTACTCAAACTCTAGTGAACATACCTGTTAATCAGAAACCCTTCATCGGGCCTAATTATTTTAGCAGTGTTACTGAAAAATGTTTATTTAATTAACTATGAAATGTCAGACTGATACCATATGAACTTTTAAAAATGCTCGCACTTTGCAACAAGTTCCAAGGTATGGTAACATATTTTCACTGATATCTGATGCCAGCTAACAGTTAATGTAGCAGTCTGCTTATATATGAGTGATGGCAATATATTGGTCAGTATTAAGAACCTGACAAGAGTCTAGCCTTAAATTGTTATCCAAAACTGGAAAAAATGTCTTGGCTTACATAGATCCAGCATACCGTATACCTGGTGTGTTCTCTGCATACCTGTTGGTGGTGGTTTACTCTCCCACTCAGCACTCTCCATCATATACTTGGCTAATCTCTCAGCATTGCTCTGCTCCCGCTTCTGCTGGACCAGCTGTTGAAGTTCAATTTTACAAGTTGTCATCCTGATTTGAAAAGCTGATGGTTGAGATGTGCTTGTGTAGATCTGCAAGGTGGGACGTCTCGACTGGATTCCTGTTCCTTCTGACGACTGATTAATGTAAAAATTGTGATATGTTTGGTTAGTTGCTGGAAATCAAAGACTTCCTTCACACACAGTGCAGACTCTGTTGAGATAACCAGGGAATCTGTCCTCTGCTGATCAGAGCAGAGAGGGTGGATGAGCCATTCATATCTGCTTACTTTATGCAGAGTGGACATAGACAAGGCCCACTCTGCTCTATCGGTGACCGACCAGGAGTGAACGGACTCTACTGTTAGTTTACACCTGGCTACCCTCCGGTTTTATCCCTAGACAGAAGGGGACAAAATTCCCTTTTTTTTTTTAATCAAATCAAACCAGGGGTAGGGAGGTGTAAACACACAACTCCATTTCCACCCACTGGTCCACAAGGGTGAATGAACCATCCGATCAGGTCTACCTGAAAAACTGACAGGTGGACCTGATCAACCCCTCGTGTGAAAGGAGCCTAATTCTTTGAACATTTCTAATGTGGGATGTCAGCTAAGGAATGCTATTAAAAAAGGAAGGAAATTCCAGAATTCTTGTGGAAACACCATTTGTGGCTTCAACTCTGCAACAGCACTGCTATCTTGACTAATTCAGGTCAACCTTTCCTTTAACTCTTAAAAGACCAGTTTTACAAAAAAAAAAAAAAAAAAATCTATGCAGTCTGCTGTCTAAAATTGGCTGTTACAAAAGGCCATAGAAGGCAAAAAAAGATCAAACAATTTTTCTGTGGGCATACCGGACAAGAAGGTATTTGTCAGAAAACATCTCCACTATACAAACATCTCCACTATACTATTCACTGTAAAGAGTAAGTGTGGTTCCACAAAAAATCCCATATCCCAATATTCTTGTCTTTCTCACAACGACAGCAAAACGTATACAGTATACACAGACTTCAGACAAAGCAACAGTTTCCAGAGTTGGTGGACTGTTCACTGTTGCTTCAGGACATCTCCAGAGATGGAAATTGTAATTTACTGAAGGCTCAATGCATGTACGGTATTTCACAGCAAAGCCATAACACTTGTTAGATCTACAATAAGCACTGCCTAGTCAGTGGAATAATCATTATTTTACATCTGAGATTTGTAAATACATTTGTTAACTATATTAAACTTTCTAAATTTATAAAACATTCCTTTAAATTCCTGATACTGACATTTGAATTTTATTAAAAAAATGTTCACATGAACGAGTCTGTTTTTTTATATTTGATGGCCAATTTTATACAAAATGTTCTTATGATCACTACCTGCGGAGAGGAAGACAATGGAGCATTAATCGCTGCAGAAGATTCTGAGCGAAGAGGTTTTTGGGTTTCCTGGTCAGCTGGAGGCAGAGGTCGTGTTGCAGCCTGACTCATGTTTGCTGGCTCCATGGCACCAAACATGCTCTTCCATTCTTCATTCACATTAGAATCTGGCTTCACATGCTTTCGAGCTGCTGACAGATCACAATTGGTAATAATTATCATAATGCACTAGTTAAATGAAAATGAGAAAGTAACTGTTTATAGTGGCTACTGCAAAAAAATATTTCTTAAAAAAACATTACAAAATAAGTACCAAAATGTCCCTTTAAAAAGTCAATTGGGTAACCTCCCATTTGAAACCCAAACTGTATTGCTTGGCTTAAACAAAAAATGTAATTCCTTTAAGTCTGTCCTGTACTCCAGGCTTCTCTGACAACATAGTAAATTTCTTGACTTTACTCTTCTCTAATGCAGTTAAAGAAATAAAGCTTGGTCAAGGACCTCCACAGCCTGTGACTGGATAGTGAAGAAGCCACAGCTCACTGATAAGGTCAGCCGTGTGCTCACTGCTCCGGGCAGAAAGTTCCCTGTATTGGAATCCACTTAATATGTGAAGAAGAGCCTGATAGTCTTACAGGATTGCTGATCCTTCTGTGATTGGAGTACTGCATGTGCATGGAAAACGAAGTTAATTTAAAGGGGTAAACTAAGGTAATATTTAAAACACAACTCCAGCTGCCTGTGCATTACTTGAATTTTGGTGTGATTTGTGTTTTATTCCAAATCTGTGCATTAATCTAGTCTGAAACTCTGTTTCTGTGCATGGGCTTCCTGTGATCAAGAACAGTCATTGCTGCACTCTCTCCCCATGTACAGGGTAACTGGTCTTATCTACCACCACTCCCCATGGCACTGTTATCTACACAGACTATGTACAGGGATGATGTTACTGCTATTTTTAAAAGATAATACCTTGATTTACAAAAGGCATTTGGTGAATGGAAAATTGGCTGCACATACACTATATTGCCAAAAGTATTAGGAACGCCTGCCTTTACACTAAAATTAACTTTAATGGCATCCCAGTTTTAGTCCATAGGGGTTCAATATTGAGTTGGCCCACCCTTTGCAGCTATAACAGCTTCAACTCTTCTGGGAAGGCTGTCCACAAGGTTTAGGAGTGTATCTATGGGAATGTTTGACCATTCTGCCAGAAGCTCATTTGTGAGGTCAGGCACTGATGTCAGATGAGAAAACCTGGCTGGCAGTCTCTGCTCTAATTCATCCCAAAGGTGTTCTATCGGGTTGAGGTTAGGACTAGTTCCTACACCCCAAACTCACTCATTCATGTCTTTATGGACCTTACTTTGTGCACTGCTGTGCAGTCATGTTGGGATAGGAAGGAACCATCCCCAAATTGTTTCCACAAAGTTGGGAGCATGAAATAGTCCAAAATGTTTTGGTATGCTGACGACTTAAGAGTTCCGTTCACTGGAACTAAAGGGCCAAGCCCAACCCATGAAAAAAAAAAAAAAAAAACAAACACAAAAACAACCCCACACCATAATCCCCCCTCCACTAAACTTTACACAATGCAGTCAGGCAAGGACCGTTCTCCTAGCAACCGCTAAATCCAGACACCTCCATCAGATTGTCAGACAGAGAAGCTTGGATTCGTCACTCCAGAGAACATGAAATTTCACAAAAGGATTATCACGATACCACGCCTGAATGCATTAAGCTCCTGGGAGCGATCCATTCTTTCACAAATGTTTGTAGAAGCAGTCTGCATGCCTAGGTGCTTTATTTTATACACCCGTGGCCATGGAGGTTATTGGAACACCTAAATCCAATGATTTGGAGGGGTGTCCCAATACCTTTGAGCACAAAACCCTCATTTAAATTTACACTTTATTGCCAGATATATTAATTTGAGTAAACATTTAAAGCCCATTTCCAGGTGTATCTTATCCACTTCAAAAAGTTTTTATAATAAACATAAACCTGGATTTTTTATTTTTTTTCAACAATTCTGCTTTCAAGACAGCCAGTGCACTGTCTTGGGGACACTAACCTGCATGCCTGTCAAAATAGGACTAGAGGCTGTAAACAAATGGCCCTTCTCCATGTATGGGGCTCGCGGTCCATGTGAATGAGGACTAAGTGTCTCTAGCTTCCCCAGCTGACAAAATAATCTACGTAATGAATTTAAAATTACCCTTTCCCCTTGTTTTCCCCCTTCATTTCTTGTTGTGGTGTAAAAATCTGAGTACAAATTGTCAAATGTAACCACTTTTGCCCTTACCTGTAACTACCTAGTATTCTTATAAAAGGATCTCAACTTAACTGAAAACCCCATTTTATCTTTCACTGACCACTTGTGGAACATGAGCGGATTTAATTACTTACTGCGTTTATCTTCAGTGTCTAACTTGGTTTTCCCAAGGTCAGCATGTCTTCCACTGATGCCCAGAAGTTGTAAATCAATCACCCCTTTTACAGCATTCTCATGCAAGTGGCTCTGATCAGCCACGTTCGCCTTGGCTTTATTTGATTTTAACATAAAATCTTTCAAAGCTAAAAGTTTATCTTCCTCTTCTTCTGTCATCCCCTGAAATTAAGATAATAAAGTGCATAAGAAAATTTATAAGCCAAGAGTAGCTTTAGGCCTGGTGCACAAGAAGGACACAAGGCCTATAAATTCCTATAGCATAAAATCCTGGGGTTTTTCCATGCCAGGGGAGCCAGAGGTGGTTTGAACATCCAGTCACATAAGTAAATAAGTGTACATGCTTGCTCTCAGAATTTACACACAGACATTTCGAGGTAATACCTTATAATGCCAATGTACTAAAGCATTGGTGTACATCCAATTACAAGCGCATAACATCATTCATTCATTGGCTGTATGAGCAGTCTGACTTCCCAGGTGTAAAACTGCCAGGATTTAATGCTACAGCGATCTTTATGCCTCAAATTGTCCCAGTGTATGAGGCTCGTTTTTTACAAAGATATCTAGTTACAATTTGTTGAAAAAAAAATTTGGCCAAAGTCCCCCTAAATTTTATAATAATTTTTTTGATCATAAAGGACGAAAAACAAAAACAAAAAAAAAAAATCTAAATTGTGGGACTGGGCTTTGGAGAGAGAGAAAAATTAGGGGACAGGAATACTGGACATTGGAAAGACAAAAGAACAAGAAGGGGTACTGGAATTTGTATTTATAGAGGTAGAAGAGTGAGGGTCTGGACTGGAGAGACAGAAAAATGGCGAGGGGGGCCTGTTGGACAGAAAAAGAAGAGGAAAGAGATTTTGTGGGGATAGAAATATGGAGGCTGGAGTTTGGAGAGACAGAAAAACAGGGAGAATGGGGACACGATTTTGAGGAGACAGGAAAGTGGTGGTGGTGGGGGGGCTGGAGAGACATAAAATGGGGGGAGCTGGATTTTAAGGAGATAGAAAAATGGTGGATTGGACTTTGTAGAGACAGAAAGAAAAAAAAAAAAAAAAAAAAAAAAAGAAGGGTAGGGGGACTGGACTTAGAAAAAACAGATAAAAGGGGGTGGGGGGGGGGGCTGGACTTTGAAAGGAGTTACCTAGTTCATGGTCTTTGTAAGATTACGTTAGAAGTATCTTTTTTTTTTTTTTTAGAAGCAAGCACTGCTGCCCCAGACCCAGATGCTAATACATTGCTCAGAGGCTGTCAGCCAGGGAGAATGCACTGGAGCTCCCATGAACCAGTTGGCAGCATGCCCCCCTGGTTTTTTACTGCACCCCCAGATCAGACAGGCTAGATCCCACCCTGGTTCACTATGAAATCTAAGATGGGAAACATACATTTCCTTGATACTGAAATTTTTGCTCAGGAAGACAGATGCCTAGCAACTAACCTTTACCGCAAACCTACAGCGGGCAATACCCTGCTGTACATTTGCAACGCACATTTGGCACCACTGGTTAGAAGTATTTCATTTGCCCAGTACAGAAATTACACTGAAAATGAGGACTTTTTAGCTCAGGAATCCTTGCTTCAGTGACACCTTATTAGCATACACATACAACAAAACTAACTTGAAAAAGGCCTATCAAAAAGGGCTTAATTGTTTCCGTGCATGGGTTTACACTGAAAAAGGAACAAAATACTGTAAAGTTTACTACCAAATTTTATGCACAACATTTTACTATACGTGAAATTTTGTCTCAACAGTCTCACACAGTTTCCAGATGTGTTAGAGAGACACCTGAACTCCATAAGAGACAAAAATCAATTCTAGTCACTTTACACCTGGGTGTCGTGGCTGTCATGAGCACAGGGGCACTTTCTGAAGTGGCCTTTGTCCACAGTGCCTGGATGATGCTGCCAAATGGCGAGACTTTTTTGCCCAATTGTAATGCGGACTGCTCAACACAGAGAGTTATCTACTTGATAGAGTGTAAGTGTGGGGCTATGTGGGAAAAATTTTCCACCAGCTGCATCAATGGATCAACTAACCCCAATTACCCATCATACAGGCTTGCACCATAAATCTGACATCTCATATGTTTCCTTTGTAATACTTGAAGTTATGAGGATCTGAAAGGAGGTAACTGAGACAACAGGGTCCTCCAGCGTAAAACAATGTGGATCAAGAGGCTCAATGCCACTGCCCCCCGAACTAAACAAAATGATCACGTATAAACCTTTTCTGTAAAGCATACTATATCTGATGGTGATATACTAATTATTTGTCAATAGATACTAGGGTTTTGGACCTGGGAGTAAACCTGGGTTTACTCTCTGAAATTTAAGACACTTTTCGCATAGTGCTGTGAGGGTTGTGTAATTCCACCCATTCCCATTGCGGCCTTGGTTCTGGTACGCACGCACCGGGTTTCCCGCACATGCGAGGTTCCGGGGGCCAGACCTTGTGATGTCACCCACCAGCCAGGATTACCAGCTTGGGTACACCTGGCAGGAGCTATATTGATTGGATGAGTACCAAGGGAATTTACTTAACGGCCCTTGCAGAAATTTTATGGAGTGCTTTTTCCCTTATGAGATTTGTGATATGTTATATAACATTGGAAAGGTTTTAAAGTGTTTGTCTCCTCACACATACTATACATATACTTTTTCTTCTTTCCTCAGTATAGCTGTAGAGCTGACTATTTGGTTTAGGATCACAGGATGTCTCTTCCTATTTTAGTCTTTCACTTCTTTTCACATCTCTAGCTGGCTACACTGCAATGTTGGGCTAGTTATGAGGCAAGATTTAGTTTTTGAAGCTTGGGTGGTATTCAATTGGCAGCAAGACCTTATTGAAGCCTCTCTAAGTGCGTGTGTATTTAGACTGACAGCTTGGCAACAGGTTCTCTCTTTTTTACTCGATTTATTACGGTTGTATTTGTTTATTTTTTTTTCTCTAACCACAGTTTTTTTTTCTTTTTCCTGTAACTGGATTGGAAGTGGAAATTTGGTAGATTTGTTTACCACAAAACTTTCCTTCTTTTTTCTTTGCATACATTTTGCTGAATTCTGGATGTAAAAGTGTTAAATGGGTAAATGGGTTGGTTTAAATGCTTAGGGCCGGAGTTATTTAAAATCATATTTATGAGACTGAAATCTGGCTCTGATAGGAGAGACTATTGACCAACGCGTGCCCCCCCCCCCTTTGGTGTTTTTTTTTATATCTGACATAAGGATAGCTAACACACTTGTTTGGCCTCTTCTCAATAGATATATGCTCCCAGGCTTGCCCCAATGATGTTGGTGAGTTTCGGAACAGAACACTTGATTAGTTTTGGATGCTATAAAGATATACTGTATATATAATCCCAAAGATAATATGCTTGTTAATATGTTCACCTATATGTCTTTTCCATTTAAAACTAATATAAATACCTCCCCCTCCTCCTGAAGAAGCAGACATTATCTGCGAAACATGCTAAAGATCTGAGAGACAGCAGGATTTCCCCCAACTATGATGTACACTTTTTTGGAACTATGGTCTTTCGTATTTATTGCTCTATGTATTTGTATTGGTGGTTCTTCCCTTTTTGATGGTGGGGCACATTTCTTTTTTAAAAACTACATGTTTGCCAAGCTTTTTAACAGAAATTGTCTATGTAATAACGTTTGTAAATTTTATTCCCTTGTTTGGAAAGTCTGTATCCTTCCACACTTCTCTACATTTAACTTAGCAAGCAAACCTTTCAGGTGCTGGAAAAAATTTCTTGCACTGTAAAAAAAAAAAAAAAAAAAAAAAAAAAAAAAAAAAAGTCTGCACTTTTATCCCACATCCGCCCACGCTCTTTCCTCATTGGCTCACTGGCTGTGATTGACAGTAGTGCTGCTGTCTCAGCCAATTAGGAGGGAAAGATCCCAGAGAGCAACTGCTCTCGTGCATATCGCTTTATTGAGATGGGGTTCAGGTAAGTACTAGGGGGGCTGCTGCACACAAAATTTTTTTTACCTTCATGCATAGAATGCATGAAGGTAAAAAAAAAAACTCAAGACTTTACAACCACTTAAATTCAATCCACTGCAAGCGCAGATATTTTTGCAAACCAGTCTTTAAGGCTCATCACCAGGTATGGTTTTCATTATATAGTGACATGGATCCAGCTTGAATCAATAAAAAAGTATGCATATTTCATACCTGTGGGATTGATGTGGAAGCAGAGAATCACTGTAGTATTCACTGCTATTAAAGTGATTGATACAGTCTTCTGGGTTCTGAGCAGCTGCCCTGCTGCATAGTAGCCACATGCCTACTTGCTTGGCACAACTGCCTTTAGAGAGCATCCTGCATTTTTCTCAGTCAGTGCAAAGCCTTCTATGATTGGGTGAGGTGCAGATAGTGACATCACAGCCCACCTCTCCAAATCAGCAGAGGACCTGGAAGACTACAGTGTCTGGAGATGAACTTTAATTTTACTAACTACATATCACACCATCTTTATGTGAGGACAGCAAAAATCTTGAGAACACTGGGAGTAAATATCTTACAATTATATATTTTTAGAGAGAAATTCTTATATCTCAGATGAAAAATGACATGTGCACAAATCTTTAGATGCCTTTTAAGTTATCTCTTCAATGTCAGGCCTTCTTAGATTGTAAGCTCCAAGGAGCAGGCCCTCCTAACCCTCTTGTATTGAACTGTATTGTCTCCCGTTACATTGTAAAGCACTGAGCAAACTGTTGGCGCTATATAAATCCTGAATAATAATAATAAAAAGCCTAAATATTGATACAAAAGACAAAAAAAACAACATCCAATTTACATTATATATATCTGTAAACAGAAAATGGTGAATTTTCTAGGAGGGACCCCCAGTCAAGACCAACAAAGAAAAAAAAAAAAAAAAAGGCGTTTAGAGAAATTAGTATGTAGAACACTGAAAATGTCTTGTAGAAAAATTAGCACTAAACATGGTCATACCTGTGACAAAAGCTTCTTCAGGAGCTGAGCAATAGCTGGATCTTCAGGAGGAGGACACTCTGGAAGAGTGCCGTTCCTCTTTTTCTGACGCATCTGAAGATGTCTAAAGAGGCTTGCAATGTCCTTTGATCGCAGGGCATAGTCAAAAATTGAGCGGCTTACAGGCTCTTTCAGCACACTCAAGAACAATTTCTTTGTCTATCTGTTAGGAATAGGGAGAATTACAAAAGATAAAAACAAGATTTAAAAAATAAAAAGGAAAGGACATAAGTTAGGTCAATTCTGATATCTGTGTTGTAGGGCAGTAGGCTTGTACTTTCTTGAAGTGTATCTAATGTCAAAACGTCTTTTTTTTTGTATAGCATAGAGAATACCGTATTTGCCGGCGTATAAGACGACTGGGCGTATAAGACGACCCCCCTACTTTTCCTGTAAAAATGTAGTGTTTGGGCTATACTCGCCGTATAAGACTACCCCCTTCCAATGCACACCAGTGGGAGCAGGAATAGTGCCCCATTGATGTCAGTGGGAAATAGTGCCCCATCATTGGTATTAGTGGCAGGAATAGTGCCCCCTTCATTGGCATTAGTGGCAGGAATAGTGCCCTATCATTAGTATCAGTGGAGAATAGTGCTCCATCATTGGTGTCAGTGGGAGGAATAGTGCCCCATCATTGGTATCAGTGGCAGGAATAGTGCCCCATCATTGGTATCAGTGGCAGGAATAGTGCCCCATCATTGGTATCAGTGGGAGGAATAGTGCCCCATCATTGGTATCAGTGGGAGGAATAGTGCCCACATCATTTGTATCATGGGATAGAATAGTGCCCCATGATTGGTATCAGAATTGCCCCATCATTGGTATCAGTGGGCGGAATAGGTGCCCCATCATTGGTATCAGTGGCAGGAATAGTGCCCTTGAATCATTGGTATCATATGGCAGGAATTGAGTGCCCCATCATTGGTATCAGTGGCAGGAATAGTGCCCCATCATTGGTGTCAGTGGGAGGAATAGTGCCCCATCATTGGTGTCAGTGGCCTTTACAGAGCATGGTGCATTTTTCCATCATTGGTGTCAGTGGGTGGGGTGGAATAGTGCCCCATCTCCATTGGTGTCAGTGGGGGGTGGAATAGTGCCCCATCGTTGGTGTCAGTGGGGGGGGGGGAATAGTGCCCCATCGTTGGTGTCAGTGGGGGGGAAATAGTGCCCCATCGTTGGTGTCAGTGGAGAATAGTGCCCCATCGTTGGTGTCAGTGGGAGGAATAGTGCACCATCTTGGTATCAGTGGGAAATAGTGCCCCATCATTGGTATCAGTGAGCACCAATGAGGGGCCCTCCTCCCACTGAGACTTGCTGACCCTTGTTCTCGTATGGTGCTGCTGAGCAGCCAGCATATGTGGTTGCAGCAGCACCTCTACACAGAACACTTACCTGCTGCTCCGGCACTCAATTTTCGCGGGGGACCGCTCGGCTCCGCCCCCTCGCCGTGATTGGCCGCCTGTGTGCCTTTCCTGAGCTACAGTTCTGGCGGCCAATCACCGGTGAGGAGGCGGAGCCGAGCAGCCGCACGATCATCCAGTGGCCGAACTGAAGGAGACGCCGCGCTTTTTCCTGGACCGGATCGTCGTGGGACTGGATCCAGGTAAGAGACATCTTTCAGCCCCTGCAAACCCCTGTACTTAATGCCGCAGCCCCCCAAACATGTGTACCGGCGTATAAGACGACCCCCGACTTTTGAGAAGATTTTCAAGAGTCAAAAAGTCGTCTAATACGCCGGCAAATACGGTAATTCAAACCATGTTGAAGAAAGGAACCCTAAGTGACCGCAAAACGTTGGACATTTCATGAATAAGTGTTCATCTCCATTCTTCAACAGAATGCTTGTGACACTCCTTTTTTGCTACAGGAGAAATGCCTGAAATTATTTTTTTTTAAATGTATTGCTGTTCCTGTCTCACTGGATATTTTCTTTTAATTCCTGTTTCAATACACAATTGGATGTGAGAGGAGATCTTTCCAAAGCAAGAAAAATCCCATCAGAAAGTTGAATTGACCAAGTGTCCCCATTGGAAAATCACTGGTCTCCCAAAACAGCTAATTGCAAGGGATGCCTTTAGTGATAACTTGTACAGTTACCAGTGAAATGTTAGGGCATCAAATGGCTGGTGTCATAGATTATCACATGTGCAACACCATGGAGACAGCAGATCTAAATAAAGGCTAAAAGCTTTTCAGCTGTAATAGTATGAAGGTTTAGTTCTGCTTTATGTCAAAATGTAAAAATGCCCCTTTTCATGAGAATGTTAAAGTAGAACTAAAGGCAAACCTTTTTTCATTTTGAATAGAGGATAGGGTTATAACCCCTGCCGAGCAGACAGAGGTGACTGACAGAAACCACTCTCTGCTCGGAGCGGCTGTGAGAACTCAGCGGTCATGTGATTGCGGAGTTTTCACACTTAGAGCCAGCGAGGGATAGATGCAGCATTGGACCAATCCTGCATCCACCTAGGCAAGTATGATTTGCCAAAAAAACAAAAAAAAAAAAAAAAAACACCCCCCCCCCCAAAAAGAAGAAAAAACCAAAGCCATACTTTTTCAACTGTTCAACTGCAGAAGGTACATAGCTTGTCTATTCTAGAAGTAAAACTGTCTAATCACAACTTTTTTTAAATGTAGATTTAGTTCCGCTTTAACACCAGGTGCATTCCAGCATGTCCAGATTGCTGACGTAAAAGGGGGTGATGGGCTGTGCAAAATAATGCCTAGATGAAAAAACAACTACAGAATAGGTGGGTTATGCTCCCTGTACACATCTCATGGTTTCATTTTCATAATTGACTGGAGTGTAACTTTCAGTAAGGGACAACACAACTTCTTAGTCTATCTGTAAACAGAAAGGTGCATTGCAAATGATTCAACAGAAAACAGGCAAGGAACTGAAAGTAAAGCAACTGATTTTTATACTTTTACTTTGATTTTTAAATGCATTTAATAATCTCTGCTAGCAGTCCTCAAACACCCACACACAAACATGGTATTACGCTACAGTAGACATACCTGAATTATAGGTTGAGTAATGAAAGGATGAAGGTAGGGCATCAACTTACAATAAACATCAGCAATATTTAACTGTTGAGCTACTGTAGTAATAAACCCCACAGCTCCATAACGTATCCACAAGTTTGGATGGCACAAAAAAGGAGCTGCAAAAAAGAGAATCACACAATGTTTATTTAACATACTTTTATGCAAATAAAGAACATCAAAATTGTGTCTGAGAGCAAGCATATTTGTATAGTCTCTGATGAGATCTCATTTCTGAAATCTTAGTTTTGATGCATTAGTTAGTTGAATCTCACATTAGCATCTTTCATTTTAGAGAGAATCCATCCCTCAGTAAGGTAACGTCGTCCTCATTTACATTTTCTAAACCATAAAGTAAAAAGAAAATGCCAAGCAGAGCATTTGATCTCCGTGTCATGGTTGAAGCAACTCAAAATTAAAAAGGCCAGTCAACCCAAAAGTGACCAGTTACAGGTTGAGTCTAAGTTAGCGCCATATTGGCACACTGTTTTCTATTTTAAAGCGTTAGTAAACGTCCATGTTTATCTTGTATCTACAGGCAACCCTTTAATAAGGCTTACTGTAGGTACAGTAAAATATCTTCTAAACGTACACAGATATTTACATGTGCAGCAGCCAGTGAGATCACCAGCACATGAGCACTGATCTAATCCACTCAGCCATCCATTGAGAGATCTGTGTTGCGGCCGTGACCTCATCGCAGCTCAGCCATTCAAACAGCTGGAGCCCAGGAACTCGGAAGGAAAACTGGGTGAAGATGGATTTCCTGTCAGTGGTGATTGCGTGTCACTGGAGGGATCTGCTTTTTTAGGCAAGTCTGTCATAATGTGCTAGTATACAATGCATGCTACCACATCATGACACGAGCCTGCGGGGAACCATTTTTTTTTTTTTTTGTTTTTTTTAAGCGTTTCACTACTGCTTTAAAACAACCCAAACTTAGGCATTACTACTTTTTTAAAAAGGAGAATTCCAGTAACTAGGTGTCAATGAAATATCCCTTATTTACAGAAACTTTGACTGACATCAGGCTCCCACTGAGATAAAGCTTCACAACTCACCAAATGTTCAGTCTCAAAATCCAATAAATAAGGTACTCCTAAACCAATAATCATGAAAACAGCATAAGGCAGTCTATCAGAAGCACAAGATTTGATTTCTTGATCTACTGACACTACTGGCTCTTGCGGTTTCCAGTAAAATGCCAAGGACATATATTACAATGACCTTCCACAAGCAGATATCTGACGGAGAATGAAAAGATTCTCAGTCAGATATCATTGCTCTCCAATGGCATGGATTACCTGCATATTCAGAAAGCTGCAATTGTCTCAAAAGGGCAAGGAACAAATAAAAGCAGAAAAAACACAATATACAGTCAGGTCCATAAATATTGGGACATCGACACAATTCTAACATTTTTGGCTCTATACACCACCACAATGGATTTGAAATGAAACGAACAAGATGTAATTTAACTGCAGACTGTCAGCTTTAATTTGAGGGTATTTACATCCAAATCAGGTGAACGGTGTAGGAATTACAACAGTTTGCATATGTGCCTCCCACTTTTTAAGGGACCAAAAGTAATGGGACAATTGGCTTCTTAGCTGTTCCATAGCCAGGTGTGTGTTATTCCCTCATTATCCCAATTATAATGAGCAGATAAAAGGTCCAGAGTTCATTTCAAGTGTGCTATTTGCGTTTGGAATCTGTTGCTGTCAACTCTCAAGATGAGATCCAAAGTGCTGTCACCATCAGTGAAGCAAGCCATCATTAGGCTGAAAAAACAAAACAAACCCATCAGAGAGATAGCAAAAACATTAGGCGTGGCCAAAACAACTGTTTGGAACATTCTTAAAAAGAAGGAACGTACCGGTGAGCTCAGCAACACCAAAAGACCCGGAAGACCACGGAAAACAACTGTGGTGGATGACCGAAGAATTCTTTCCCTGGTGAAGAAAACACCCTTCACAACAGTTGGCCAGATCAGGAACACTCTCCAGGAGGTAGGTGTATGCGTGTCAAAGTCAACAATCAAGAGAAGACTTCACCAGAGTGAATACAGAGGGTTCACCACAAGATGTAAACCATTGGTGAGCCTCAAAAACAGGAAGGCCAGATTAGAGTTTGCCAAACGACATCTAAAAAAGCCTTCACAGTTCTGGAACAACATCCTATGGACAGATGAGACCAAGATCAACTTGTACCAGAGTGATGGGAAGAGAAGAGTATGGAGAAGGAAAGGAACTGCTCATGATCCTAAGCATACCACCTCATCAGTGAAGCATGGTGGTGGTAGTGTCATGGCATGGGCATGTATGGCTGCCAATGGAACTGGTTCTCTTGTATTTATTGATGATGTGACTGCTGACAAAAGCAGCAGGATGAATTCTGAAGTGTTCCGGGCAATATTATCTGCTCATATTCAGCCAAATGCTTCAGAACTCATTGGACACCACTTCACAGTGCAGATGGACAATGACCCAAAGCATACTGCAAAGGCAACCAAAGAGTTTTTTTAAGGGAAAGAAGTGGAATGTTATGCAATGGCCAAGTCAATCACCTGACCTGAATCTGATTGAGCATGCATTTCACTTGCTGAAGACAAAACTGAAGGGAAAATGCCCCAAGAACAAGCAGGAACTGAAGACAGTTGCAGTATAGGCCTGTCAGAGCATCACCAGGGATGAAACCCAGCGTCTGGTGATGTCTATGCGTTCCAGACTTCAGGCTGTAATTGACTGGAAAGGATTTGCAACCAAGTATTAAAAAGTGAAAGTTTGATTTATGATTATTATTCTGTCCCATTACTTTTGGTCCCTTAAGAAGTGGGAGGCACATATGCAAAGTGTTGTAATTCCAACACTGTTCACCTGATTTAGATGTAAATACCCTCAAATTAAAGCGACAGTCTGCAGTTAAAGCACATCTTGTTTGTTTCATTTCAAATCCATTGTGGTGGTGTATAGAGCCAAAAATGTTAGAATTGTGTCGATGTCCCAATATTTATGGACCTGACTGTATAACTGTATACAGGGCACAACAAATTTGCTTTAAATTTAGGAGCCAGCTAAAAAAGTTAGGAGGCATTTTTTTTTTTTCCAGCATAGTGTGGGTTGTCAGCACCCAAAGCAAGGCAACTTTTGAGTGACAAGCTTCACGCACTGTGAATTTCCACGATCATGACAAATCCACACCACGTTTTAGGCATCACTGGAAAAAAGAAAAAAAAAAATGGCACTTGATCCTACATTTTGCGATCACAGCAATTCTGCCGCAATCCAAAAATTCCAAGGTGAGAATGGAGCCACTCTGGTTCACACATATGCAAGTCTGGATGCATTTTCAAAATCACAGATTCGCATGACAGGCTAGATATTATGTGTTCCTATTGAGGTGGTTCACACAGATGTGATCCATACGCATTGCGTTTTGAGAGCCATTCTAAAAAGAGTCCTCTGCAAGTTTGTAGCAGTGTGTTCCAGACTCGCAAGTGAAAGAGTAGAGTGCGGAGATAAGTGTCCACATAGGATTGCTATTACAGGAGTTTTTGCATTGAAGTCAGTGGGAAGCAGTTTTGGCATTGAAGTCAGTGGTGCCAGCATGCAATTTCTAGTCGCAATGGTGACCTGGCGTGTGTATTTTTTTTTTTTTTTTACATCAGCGAACTTAATCAATGCTCACTAACATGTTATACACAAATGTAAACTATACCAAGAGAAACATTTCCAAGTTAAAAAAATAAATATTTTCAGGAGCATACCAATGTCACAAGAGAATTCATAGATGTGGGGTTTCTGAAGGAGGCCCAGTTGGCACATACATGTGAGAGCATTGAGGGCCTTAAATATCACAAACTCTTCCACATCGCTCAGCCCTTGCTGGAGAAGTGGCTTTAGGATGGAAGAACTCTGCCACCCTACATAAGCTGCAACACCTGTAAAAATAATAAATTGAGAGAAACACAAGATCAACAAGGTTGTGCAATCCAGCTACAGATCATTGTACAAATCATTCCACTGAACTATAGGTAGACAATTACACAACATCAAATATTGACAGTTCTGAAGCAAAGACCTGGAGGGCATGTGCAGAAGAGAATGTATTTCAATGGACTTCCAAAAGGCAGATATGACTATACATGATGGGCAGTGAAATTTTTCCACCCTATCATATATCTGCTCCTCCTCTTCAATGTCTGCCCCCATAACAAGTGCATGCTATGGAGACAGATGTATGGGCCTGCTACCAGGCTTGGCTTTGTGAGTCTATAGAAACACATAGTGTGGCTCAGTCTGGACCCCACTCCCTCCTCACTGGATTTAATTGGCAGCAGCAGCAGGAACCGATGGCTCCTGATGCTACTTCAATGTCCAGTGAGGAGGGAGAGAGCAGCAATTCTGCTTTCGGACACAGAGCTGGATCGATTTCAAACTCATAAGTTTTTAGGGGGGGCTAGGGGGGAAGCAAATTTTGAAAGATTTTTTACAATAATGCATACTCATGCCATTCCTTTAGAGCTCTGTGCCAAGGCCGGGATACTCCATGTGCAGGAGTGATGCCATTGTGGCTTTGCCATTCAGGCAGCCACAACCCGAGAACCCGGGAGGAAGACCAGGCAAAGATGGAAGCCTCTGCAGTGGTGACAGCGCACCACTGGAAGACTTTGTTTGAAGGTAAGCCTTTCATAATGTGCTAGTATGCAATGCATACTAGGACATTATGCCTTTAGCTTGAAGGGAAATTTTTTGCTTTTGTATTGCTCCATGTTTACTACCACTTTAATACAAAAAATATGAAGTCAACCTACAAAAACCAAAAACGTTCCTTAAACCAACAGAAATCCAAAACAAAGGCCAAGCTTGCTTGTAAAGGCTTCGTGCATTAGAAAAAGCCACAGAAATCTTTAATTCAGTTTTTTTTAAATTACTTGTATATGACTACTTGATTGATTTCTTTTTTTTTTTTTTTTTTAGCATGTACATACCTACAATGCTGTCAAAAAATGCTCCTCTAAGGTGCCAGTCATTTTTATCATTGAGAAAAGTGATCATATGAGAGAGAAGAACATCATTGGCTTTTTGTCGCCCAAAAAACACACAAAGCCTGGTGATTCCATTTTCCATTAATGTCTGTTTTACTATGTTCTCTGGGTCACTGAGCAACGTCACCACCTTTTGCTGGACCATCTCATGTAAAGCCTGCAATTCTAAGCACAAAAAATAATAGTAAGTGTTAATGCCAACACCTTTGTAGTTAAGTACCTTGCTACAGTTAAAAAAATTAATGTTAACACGGTATATATTGCACTAAAATGATAAAAAAAAAAAGCCACAAACAAAAACACCTAAGAACTTCAAATCAAACATCTTTGTAGAATGCTTGATAATAACAGTCTAAAGCTGGCTATAGACTCTAGAGGGTAGTGGAATATGAAAAACATAATACAGCTATCCTCATGAGTTTATATTTGTGGCCCTAATCATGCCTTGCGCAACCAAATGTGTTTAGACTAGAGAATAAGACGGGGAAACACAGCTGAAACACCAGGCACCAGCTTATTAGAAAAACAGCAGCCAATAAACAAGATTTGTTGTTAACGTACCCAATTGTATTTTCTCCCCAATTCAGCCGGATTCACATACTATGTGTATTGGCACCCACCATTTATGTTCTCCACATGTCAGTGTAGAAGGAATATCCAATGTAACCATTGGTATGGATTAGTACCTGTAGAGGGGCCTCATTCATGGAAATCATGTGATTCAGTTACATATGTTGGAAATCAAGCGAGCATGTAGATTGTACATGGATAACCTTTTGCTCAACCAGCAAAAAGGTGGATGGACCAATTTCGCCCCCCCCCCCCGGCTGGTACAATGTATTCTGACAGTGACTCCCACTGCTGCCAGAATACACGGATTAGCAGCTGCAGCCACTGACTGATGTAAAATTTTCCAACACTCTTTTTGACTGAAGTTGAATCGATTTCTGTCAAGTGGTGGAGCCCATACACTGATTGAAATTCCGCTGGTCGCTGCTGCGCTAGCCAAATATTGATCAGCTTTATGGCCAACTTTAGGCCTAAAAGCCCTATCCCTTGACAAAATGTGTTGGGGGGGACCCTGTGCACACAAGTAATTTCAGAGGTGTAAATACAGATCGATGATGGTTGCAGTGTATGCTGGAGGCAGCAATACAACTAAGCCTTTTAGGGGGATGCTCATTTAGCACTTTCCAATGTGAATAGATGTAATACATTATTTTGATAAAAAGGTTTTAAAACAGTAATACACCATTTTAATTTTTTTGTTTTCCTGGCACGGAAGAAGCTGATGTGAAAATTTATGAAGTTGTTTACCAGGGGATTCAGGTTGTTCCTGATTTCAAGTGTACTTGGACCTCGGATTGTGTCACTATTCTTTCACAATAATCTAAATGAAGTTGTTCAGGGTTTTGTAATCACACTATTTGCATTATTATAGAACTGTAAATGTCAATAGTGAGTCAGCAGTTACAATTTCAGGCACCATGACAGCTAATGAAACTGCCTTTTGTGCTACAAGATATTTCACATACCAGACAGTTAGTCTTCAGGCAATTTCAAGAATATACAAGTGGGAGGATTAAAAAGCAAATAACGATTTAAAGCATTTCCCAAAAAGTATCTTAGCTGATGATGATACCCCTCCTTTAGATATACATCAACTTTTCTTTTTTATATTCAGATTCTTTCCAGGGCTGTTCCCTGATGGCTCTAACGAGAGCATATGGTGGGACTATTCAACCATCACATTTTTTGAGCAAATGTAAACAGCTCCCACAGCATGGTTCTTACTTGTCAAAAAATATTATCTCCTTGGTCTACCCCAGGGCTCAAAAAAAAATAAATAAATAAATAAATCCCAGGCACCAGGTCACCATGGAGACTAGAAATTGTGTCCTGGTGCCTAGGCTTTTCTCAGGCACCAGGACACCGCCTCACTGCTCCAAGGATTTGAAGTTACCGCGACTTAATCCATCTGGGTTTTTTTTTTGCCTTCCTCTGGATCAACTGTGGGTGTAGGATTATAACATTTTTTTTTTTTTTTTTTTAATGGTTGAACTGGATGGGCTTTTGTCTTTTTTCAGCCAGACAAACTATGTAACATACATCTCAGTGTATTGACAAGAGGCATTCTAATTGGTCTACACCGTCACACGAACGGTGCTGACCAATCAGAACCGTCCGCCATTTCTCCACTGTCCTTCTGTCAGTCCTCCTTACTGCTGTCACCCGGTATACATCTGTCAGATATCAGGTAATAATGCCAGGCCCGAGGCAGAGCAGTGTGTGAGACGGCGGAATGGTGCGCCAGGCCTGGGCTCACAGATTTCCATGTGTCAGCAGCTCCCTGTCCCACTGCTTCAGCCAGCCTGCCATGGTGTCACTGCTTCCTCTGGCCCTGGGGGAGGGGTGGAGCATGGACTGGGCCCATCCTGCCTCAGCTAAGAGAAGGGCACCACCGAGTAGATGGGGGGCACAGTGTACCTACTACCGGCCAGGTGTTGGCACCTCAGCCCCCCCTCCTATAGACACGTGTATGGGGAAGCAGAGCAGGCCCTGTTCTGTGTGTGTGTATGTGAGGAAGGTGGAGGTGGGAGAGCGCCACTTTTCTGGAGGATTCCTCTGTATACACTATAGAGGTGAAGGGACCTCATTGTACATATAAAGGACTAAGTTTCTTTCTTTACTTTTTCCTCTCTTTCATTTCCGGGGGGTCACCGGACAGCCGATTTAAAAAAAACTGACTCCTAACTTTTTTTTTAGTTGGCTCCTAGATTCAAAGCAAATTTGTCAATCCCTGGTTCACCCTGTGCAGTGATGTTCTAGGTGCAATTTCAAAGCCTGTTCAAAAGCTGTATGTCCTAAATATATCACGCTCCTGTTGACATCATATGACGAAACACGTAGGGTGGAGGAGTACTGTGGATGTTATGAGGGAGTTTTCAGTGAATGATCTGAAGGTGCTTTCACATATGGAGTCCGTAACCAGCAGATAGAGGCATCAAGATCATATAGACTGCTAACTCACTACAGGAGAGGGCTGTAACATCGACTGCGCTATCTGACCTACCACTGAAGGTGGTCAATTATTTGTGGTGAGTGGGGCTCTGGTGGGGGAGCACTAATTGGAGCACTTAAAGGATTTTCATGGATAAGAAGATTAACCATTATATCACATAGTTTTTTTACGTTGGATGCAGATATTTTTTCATATTGGAACTTTCAAATGTTTGCACGTTGACTGGGACTTATTTTTTTGCATACAAATTCACTGTATTCTTAGTTTGATGGTACATTGTCACGTTTGTATTTATTTATTCCTTAGCACATGTGCTGTTTGAATATTGTTTTCCCAATCTAGGATGTATTAAGTCATTGGGCAAGAGGGATACATTTTTGTTGGCCCATAGGGCATTGAGGGACACACACATTTGTGGGGCACCCACATGTAAGTAGGGTACTATATTCACTTAGTAGAGGCAGCACAGCAACTATTTATGTTTCTTAAATAGAGTATCTGCTAAATGGAACATTGTTAAAGCTGTAGTAAACTCTGCTTTTTGACTTATACTTCGATTTGACAAAATTTGCTATGAATCTAGGAGCCAGCTAAAGAAGAGAAAAAAAAAAAAAAAAAAAGAAGGTTAGGGGCCAGTTTTTTATAAACCACTTGCCTACTGGTTACTTTCTCTCCTTTCCTGTCCAGGCCAATTTTCAACTCTCAACTGTCATACTTTAAGCCCTGGTGTGTGGTCGTGCAGGCTGTAATTTGGGCGGGCATAGGTGCCCATTCATTTGATTGGACTCCCGTGCCCTGGGACATGCAGGGAAGAAGTCCTTGCACTACTTTGGAAATCGCAGCCCGCACGGGAACCGAGGTTCCACGTATGGTTGCGATTTCCAGTGCGGGCAGCGTGCCATTAGAATTATTAGCACCCGCACGTCGGTCCCGCATTCCTCTGTGCAGGTGGTGCTGCTGCAGGTATTTGTTCGGGTCCTCGCACAAATGTGAACCAAGGGTAAAAGGACAATTGCGCGGTCATCCAAACACTGTACCCTAATTAAATTTTTATCTTTTTGAGACAGAGCTTTTTTTTTGTCGTATTTAATCACCACTGGGGTTTTATTTGTTCCTAAATTCACGAAGAAAAGATTGAAAATTAAAAAAAAATAATAATAAAATAGGTGGCCACACTGGCAGTTATGCCGCCAGTTCCTGCTCCGAACTGAGGCCGAGAGTCTCCCCGAAGCAGCAGGTGTCACCGAGAGCCGCACAGGGGACACGGCCTGCCAGCTACGCTCCTCTTTTGACCCGCCCCTCCTACTAATGTGCAGCCCCGCATCTCCCTTAACCCACCCTTCACAATCCCACCGCTCTCCGGCCTCACAGCACCGCTCCTCTCTACACTTCGGCCTCACAAACGTGGCAGTGACACCTGCAGGCTGCCCGGCAATGTTGTGCTTGTCTGCAATCCCCTATGCTACACCACTGGGGACGACAACAGCCCAGGCGCCAGGTCGTATTTTCTAGTCACCATGTGCGACCTGGTGCCCGGAATTTGTTTAGCCCTGATTTATACCTACAAATCTATACTAAGGATTACCTGTAGGAACAGTAAATATCTCCTAAATGTGCACGGTTTAGGAGATATTTACTTTAGTAGCAGCCGGTGACATCACTGGCACATGGGTACTTCACGCTGACAGGACTGTGCCATCCATTCAGAGATCTGTGCTGTGGCTGTGACTCCTGTGTGCATGCACAGGAGTGAAGTCATCATGGCTGGACAATTTAAACGTCCAAAGTCCGCAAACCTGGAAGAAAGAAACTCTGAAAGCAGCGACAGAATGCCACTGGAGGGCTTCCTTTTAAAGTAGAATTATAGGCAAAACTTTTTTTTCCCCATTTTAGATAAAGGGAGAGTTATAACTCCTGTCAGATTTTTTTCTCTTTTTTTTTGCCATCTTTGTTCCATTGTGGAGATTTCCCTTCACTTCCTGTCCTATAGCCAAACAGAAGTGAGAGGAAATCCCTGCAAATTAAGGGAATTCCTCGGGCCCCTAGAACTAGTGTCCCAGTTGGAAGATTTCTTGTCCATTACTTTTCTGGGAACAACCCAAAATTAGGGATTTTCTTTTACTTTAACTTTCAATGATAATGGTAAATAGGAAAAATAGAGGGTGAATTTTTGATCAGACACAGTAAGCCATGGGGCACTCGACCAGGCTCACTCCCGAGCCGCGTGCTGTGTATTCACACACTTAGCTTGGCCCGGCCTCACTCTATGTTCTCTCTACCCATTGGCTCACTGGCTGTGATTGACATCAGCAGGAGCCGATGGCTCTTGCTACTGTGTGAGCCAATGATGAGTTTTTAGAATCACTTTAATGTTCCCTTCACCTGCAGCAAAAATCAGTTTATTACTGGATAGGTTTGGCCTCGTTTTATACAGCTTTCTTTTAAAAAGCAACAATTAATAGAAAACACTCCTAAATAGTTTCCAGTGCCAGAGCAGTTAATAGATATAACGAATTATTATTATTATTATACAGGATTTATATAGCGCCAACAGTTTGCGCAGCGCTTTACAATATAAGGGAGACAGTACAATTACAATACATTTCAGTACAGAAGGAATAGGAGGGCCCTGCTCGTGCAGCTTACAATCTAAAGGAAGGGGGAGATGATACAAAAGGCGATAGCTGTGGGTGATGATCTGGTGGAGGCGATTCAAGTACAGTTCTTAGGTGGAGGTGGGGTAGGCTTCCCTGAAGAAGTGCGTTTTCAAAGATCGCCTAAAGGCAGACAGGGTGGGGGCTGACCGGACATGCTGTAGTAAGGAGTTCCAGAGGATGGGAGAGGCTCTGGAGAAGTCCTGGAGGTGAGTGTGGGAGGAGGCGATGAGGGAGATAGAGAGGAGGATATCATGGGAGGAGCGGAGTGGGCAATATCTGCGGATGAGGTTGGTGATGTAGCTAGGAGCAGTGTTGTGGATGGCTTTGTAAGCTGTGGTTAGTATTTTGAATTTTATACATTGGGTTAGTGCAGTGTTTCTCAACTCCAGTCCTCATGGACCCCCAACAGGTCATGTTTTCAGGATTTCCCTCAGATGAAACAGCTGTGGTAATTACTAAGGCATGAAACTGATCAAATCACCTGTGCAAAATAATGGAAATCCTGAAAACATGACCTGTTGGGGGTCCATGAGGACTGGAGTTGAGAAACACTGGGTTAGTGGAAGTCAGTGGAGGGATTGGCAGAGAGGGGTAGCAGACACTGATCGGTTGGTAAGGTGTATGAGTCTAGCAGCAGCATTCATAATAGACTGAAGGGGGGATAGCCTGTGTAACGGTAGACCAGTGAGGAGGGAGTTGCAGTAATCAAGGTGGGATATAACAAAGGCGTGGATAAGTTGTTTTATGGTGTCATTGGTCAGAAAGGGGCGGATTTTGGAAATGTTCCGGAGGTTGAGGTGGCAGGATTTAGCCAGTGAGGGGATGTGGGGCCCAAAGGAGAGGTCAGAGTCTAGGATAACGCCTAGCATCCTGGCATGAGGGAAAGGACCAACAATTTTGTCTCAGATTATGAATCTTGAATCTGTGAGATCTGCTAACTTGCAAACTAGCTGAAATTGTAAACAAAGAAAAATGTTGAGAGTATCCGCCCTGCTTTAACCCCTTGCCTACAGGGCACTTATACCCCCTTCCTGCCCAGGACAGTTTTCAGCGCTGTCGCACTCTGAATGACAATTGTGCTGTCATGCAACACTGTACCCATATGAAATTTTTATCATTTTTTGAGACAGATAGAGCTTTCTTTTGGTGGTATTTAATCACCTCTGGGTTTTTTTATTTTTTGCTAAACAAACCAAAAACAACTGAAAATATTGAGAAAAAAAAAAAAAAAAAAGTTCTTCGTTTTTGTTGCAATATTTTGTAAATAAGTGATTTTTCTCCTTCACTGATGTGTGCTAATGAGGCTGCAGTGATGGACAACTGATGAGCATCTTTCCATTGATCGGTGATCTGCTGTGTCCGAGGGGACACAGCGCACTGCCGCGCGCTCCCAGAGGAGACGTCACATGACATCCTCCCTGAACGAGAGAACCGCCTTACGCCTGTCATTACCTTATATGGCGGGCGGGGAGACGGTTATAGCATAACTCAACCAAAAAAAAAAAAAAAAAAAAAAAAAAGTGTTTCTCTTTTGGTTTCAGGTACACTGGTGTTCTTGGTGATGCCATACAAGGAGCAGTGAAGCACGCGTTATTTGGGATAGGGAAACCATTGTCAGAGCTTATATTTCCCATGTGCTTCTGTCCATGCATCTGAAATTTCGCTTTGCTTTCTGGCAAAAAAAAAAACAAACACACACACCAGGGATAGGGACACCCACCAGAGGCTCTTATCCTTCTGTACTTTAAAGCCCAACTTTTTTTCTTTTTACTTTTGCGTAAAGTCACTGGAAGCCACTTCTTTTGTCTGCAATCCCCATTGCATCATGAATGACACAACAGCACAAGAAAGAAAGATCCTGTTGGTTCATGTAAGCCAGATAACTTTCAGATCTTGAAAAACCCCTGCTAAAGAGGATTATACCTACAGCATACTTAGCATATTTATCAGTCAGGGCAGATCATATTTTATACATCTTTCATCTCTACACAACAGTTTTCAGTAATAATCTTGAAATTAAATAATAAAAACAAAATTAAAAAAAAAAGACAGTCAAAATTGTGGTGTCTGCTCACGTGTCCTCAGTGTAGACATTCCCTCCTGTATTGGTGGTCAGTGTAGGTAGATGTTCAGTTTGCCACTGCTCAAGGAACCCCTAGCAACCTCAGGTTTGAGAAGGGCTGATTTAAACATCGCTTTTTTATACCGTCTCTTTAACCACTTGACCTCCGGAACTGACAATTGCACGGCCAATTCACAGCATATTTGAGTGGTCAGCAGGTGGTTATAACCCAACCTCTGACCCACTTATATTTACTTCCTAGTGCTCCCTTCCTCAATTGCAGTAAAATACCAGCACCCGTGCTTCCAGTTTTGGGGGAGCATTTGATCCTCTTCCTTGAAACCAATTCTTGGCCCAGTTCCACCCACCCCCATTTGGGGGCTAGAATTTTTTCTATATTCTTGTTCAAATATTTTTATAGATAAACAATAACAAGAAGAATAAATAAATAAAAAAGGGGGAACAAGTAGAGTGTTGAATTTTTTTAATTTTCAACTCAGCTGGACTATTTGCCCAGCCTGAATACTTTCACATGGTAGAAAGGGTAACATCATCACCCCCAGAGTATTTCAAGGCAGCAACTGAGTGTGATAAAGATTTAAAGATACACTTTGCTCTGCATGACAGAATCTCTATAAAGACTGATTGAATAAGCTGCACCTTATTGGTTCCTTTTTTTCCCCACTGCATCCCTTAGATTGCCATAGCAACAATCATAATGAAAAACCATAGATAATCCTTAATGTATTCCATTATGTTGTGTCTGAGACAGATAAAGCCATAATGCAGACTTACCTGTGTCATAGCTCTCATTGGGGTGGGACGTCTCATCCAGCTCCTCACTGCTGGGATCATTCTCCATGTTTAGGTTCTTCAGCTGCACCAACTCCAAAAACCTTAGGGCAGTTTCTGCTAGTAAAGCTATGTTCTCTTTAGTAAAGTCCCATGTAAAGAAAGAACAGTCATAAAATATATTGAAATTAACACATGAAGACACAAAGAATACAATAGAGATAAAAGTAAAATGAGAATAAAATGTTAAAACAAATACAATATACTTCTAGAACTCCAATTTCTGTACTATTTATGGACATACAGTGTACAATGAAAATAAGAGGTGTTGAACCTTGCCTACCTTTCATACTGTGTAACTTCTTTATTTTACCAACCCAAGCACTAAATAAATCTGACTAGGCATAATAAGCAACACATCCCCCATTTAATTTCCTTCAAATGTATGAAGCAGTCTTGTAATTACGGTTTGCTGCTTCAGGGGCCACTACACACATTTTTCCTGCAGTGATCAGAGTTGTGTTAGGGCAGCTTGTTCCATTTTGAATGGGCTGTTATAACACCATGGTTTGCAAAAAAAATTCACCTGCATTATTTTTTGCAACACTGCAACACACAGGAGCATTCACAGACCATGGAAAGTCAGAGAAAGCTCCAAAATGTATCTGCACACTTGTTCTGAGTCAGTGAATCAAGGTACTGATGCAAAAGGGTCAGCAGTGCAGCCAGGCAACTAGCATTAGAATGACAGATCAGCAACGATAAACTACATGGTTTTCCAATGACAGGTTAACTTTAACTAGATGAATTTAGAGGAAGGATTGTGTTGATTGCATAATGAACAATATATAGCATACGGTTTTTCCTTCTGACCTGATACAGAGTAATTTTCATATTGGAAAGCTTTGTGGTTTTCTAGTTTCCTTATTTGCTCACAAAAGGCGACTATTTCCTCTGTATTTAGCTGACTTTGGAGAGGATTTTGTTTGTTTGCAATGATGTAACAGACTGTGGTTACACATGCTATGTTCCTGGTGTCTAATGAGGTCATCTTAGAGCAGTGTTTAGAAGTCTATCTTCACATCCCAGCAATACTGCATGTTATACAGGTCATCTCACATATATAAAACCTTAACCCCCAAAGGAGAAAAAAAAAAAAAGTTTGCTATGACTGCTTATAAAAAGTATTAGCTGGATTTTGCCTTCAATTTGTTAGTGTATTTCAATCTGCTAATACATCTAAACACTCTCCTACCCCAGACTGACAATGCTGCTGTCTAAAAGGTGCTCTTTCATCTAGACTGGGGGCACTCTAATACAGTAGGTGTTACTGGTCACATTACCAGGTAAAGAGGGGGAAAAGCCAAAAAAGAAAAAAAAATGCTAATGCAGCCACCACATCTGATTGGTAAGCTGAAATATATTACATTTTTTGGTTTGGGGTTTAATACTGCTTTAATCACAAGAAGTACATTAAAAAACACATAAGTATAGCATTGCACTCCCAATTTTGGAAGTTATCAAGGCCAACTGATTCTTTGAAATACAGCCCACAGTATGTCTAAGGCATGTGCGGTTTGGTTTGAGAAGCACAACTATCCAAGTTGTGATATAATTTTTCTTAAATCTGCTCAGACAGCAGGAAAATGTAGTATTTTCAGTGACTATTTTTCAGTTATTTTTGCTACATTTACATAAATTTATGCAGCACACTTCACATGCTTACTCATCCTAAATCTCACCTGCTCTGGGTCAGTGAATCACATTATTGCAAGAGAGTCAGTGCTACAGATAGGTGACTAGAATTCAAATGACAGGTTTACTTTATAGGAGAAGTTCACCTTTGGGAACATGTTACATGTTCCACCCGTTTTTAGAGTAGAACATGAAACATGTTCCCAATGCTGTAGCCGCCACCTGCTGCTCCCCCCCTCCCTCTGATAGAAGTATGGGGAGAAGTTACCCCGTATTAACTGTCAGATTTGAGAAAAACACGGACGTGAGGGGCTCAGCCCACACAGCCAGCTTGTAGTTTTCAATGAACTACCATGGCACTGTGGAGCTATGGTAGTTCATCTCATCTTCTTGTCAGTATATCAACATGCTGATACATCCCGTACAGTGAAGCAGATATACTGACAGATCTGCAGGAGACCTGCATGGCACCAGCGATCTACTGATCACTGGTGCAATGCTTTACAGGCTCCTGCAGACATTAATAAATGCACATTTTTTTTACCTGCAAAAAAAATGTGCATTTATTATTTTTGTGAAAATGGTGACCTTACTGTTTAACTATATTCATCAGAAGGAATTTGTGGATAGTGTATATATATATATATATATATATATATATATATATATATATATACACACACACACACACACATACATACATACACACATATATACACACACATATACACACACACACACATATACATATACACATACATACATATATATACACACACACATATACACATACATACATATATACACACACACACACACACACACACACACACACACACACACACACATATATACATACATATACACACATACATATATACACACACACACACACACACACACATATACATACATACATACACACACACACACATACATACTCTTTCTGACCAGATGCAAAGTAATTTTCATATAGGAAGCTTTGTGGTTTTCTAGTTTCCGTATTTGCTAAAAAAAGGTGAATATTTCCCTCTGTATTTAGCCGACTTTGGAGAGGATTTTGTTTGTTTGCACTGACATAACAGACTGTTATACATGCTATGTTCCTGGTATCTATTGGAGGTCATCCTGGATTGTGCTCATAAGCACGTCTTCACATCCCAGCAACACCACATGTTATGCAGGTCATCTCATATATGCAAAGATGGAGTAATTAGTATCTTATCAATGTAATTTAGTTACCTGTGTGGATAACTGTTGACTGAACGTGAGGAAAAGCTGTCTTAAAGGGTCATGTGATGACTGCACTAATGCAAGTCAACTCACATACAGTATGCAGAGTAATTTGTGTCTCAGCAATGTGATTTAGTAACCTGTGTGAATATTCACGAAAAAAAAAAAAAAAAGAAAAAAGAAAAAGAACCGCTTAGGGATGCACCAATACTGATACTGAGAATTTTCATGAGTATTCGTACTCAGGAAAATACTACCGATATCTTAACCGGTACTTTGCGGTGCGATTTGTGTTAAGGGACATATATACATTTTTTTAAAAACTGTCCAGTTTTCGGCCAAGTGCATCCTGAAATTTCGGTTTTGGCACCAGAATTTACATTTCTGTGCACCACTATGCAAAATTATTGTACACAGCAGGTAAGTACGATATGTTTTTCTTTTGTTTTTTCAATCGGAACCTTTAGTACCACTTTAAGAAGTGGACTACATGTATAATCATAGGAAATGTGGAGACATAATGAGCTTTTACTCACCTGCATATGCTAGTCTTACAATAGTGGCTTCATCCTGAGCAAGATGGGCTATGCCAGGTAAGATGTACTCTGGGTAAATATTGATATCATTCCTAGGCACCTCCTTTACCAAGGCTAATACTTTGGTCAGTGTCCTCACAGCCTCGGCTTTTACCCTGGGAACAGAGTCATTACTAAAGTGAAGCAGATATGGAGTAATGCGATCCAGTAGAATCTCAACACTTAAACGTGGAGCAAGGTGGAGAATAAGTTCTAGGGCAGCCAGTTTAGAGTCACAGTACTTTAGTGTCTGCAAACAGGAGGTAATTACTGAGACCAAGATAAGGAGGCCATTTTCTTTGGTCTCCCCCTCTGCTTTTTCACTCTGGTCATCTCCACACAAGTTATGGACGATATTATCCAAATCCTTACGGATAACCAGGATGCGTTCATCAGCAGAGTTAAAGGTTTCTTTCGCAAACTGGGCCATGTATGGCTGCAGAAAGGAGTAGAATATCTCAGGGAATGCATTGCCCTTTTGTTGTTTGAGGTAATCTTCTGCTGCCAATCGCTTTTCAGGCTCACGGCGGATCATCTGTGTGACCTTTCAAAGACAATAAAAAGGGATACATTACTCTGTACAATTATATATAGTATACTACTGGGCAGGTTGACACTTTTGCTTGTATCTTTGCTCTAATTCTACAGAAAATACAGTGAAGAAAAAAAAAAAAAAAAAAAAAAGTCACCTGGATGTAATCTAGGACTAGGTCCAACAAAAACATTAGATTTTGTTGCACTGTGTAGGAGTGATTTGTCACATAATGTAAATGAAGCTGTTCAGTGACAGACTGGATGGTAGGTATCCTACTCGAAAACAACCATCTGCAATCTCACTGATCAGTGGTCTGTGCCAGGTCATCACTTCGTTTTCGACGCATACACTATGAGGATAAAGTGATCATCTCAAAAGAGAAGGTTACTTAACGTTAGTGATTCCTTTAGGAATTAGTTTGCCTACCTAGATTGCAAGCTCTAACGAGCAGGGCCCTCTGTTTCCTCTTGTACCAAATTGTATTGTAACTGTCATGTCTACCTTTATATTGTAAAGCGCTGAGCAAACTATTGGCGCTATATAAATCCTGTATAATAATAATAAACTGTTGGAGTCAGGTTAAGAGACTTTGTAGAATGACACCAAGAGGCACCTCTGCTATAGCCAAATACTGGCTCTTCTGAATGGACAAATATACTAAGGTGAATAAGAGCTTCTACATCCCTGTGCTTTATACTTGTGAGCAGCTCTTTTTATTTTTAACCCCTTAGTAATGGAGGGTAAAAAAATCTTAATGCCTAGGACACAATTTTGCAATTTTGACATGTGTTAGCAAAACTGTACAAATCAACGCAGCTAGTTTGTGTATCCAGAAGGATTATACTTTGTTTTTTGAAGGACAAATTGGGCTTTCTTGGGTGGGTCGTAAATGGTTACAGATATATCCTAATTTTTTTTTTTAATCATCAAGGGAAAACTTTTTTTTTTTTTTATTTAGCTATATATTTATTGCTATTGCCATAACTTATCAAAGATCAAGCCGAAATAAGTTCTGCTCCCAATGATTGCAGGGATACTACATTTGACGTTTGTACCCATAGTAGGGCCCAGAAACAATAGTGCACATTTGCTTTTTTTATCCTACGTAAAACACGGATACTAATTAAAAAAAAAAAAAGTTTTTATATAAGAAAAAAAATCCTACCAAAAAAAAACCCCAACACTAAGTGCCTGTTCACATATATGCGGATTGGATGCGGTTTGAATCACATTAAATCCTCATGACATGTGAAATACCACTGCTTCCTATGGTGCCTGTTCACATATGTCCGGCGCAGATTCAGTGCGGTTTTAAAAAGAGTCATATCCAATTTCTGAGCAGTGCCTTCAGGGTCAGATTACAGGCTATTGACTTCTATGGGAACCATTTCTAAACTGCATATGTGTGAACAGGATAAGATCCTGAGGTAATCCTGTCCTGAACCTGACGTGAACCTGTGTACAGATACTGTATCAACTAGCTGTGAAACCTGAGCCTCAAACCGCAGCGCATGTGTGTGAATCAGCTCTAATCCTGATGGTGACCTAGATCAAACCTTGATCAAGCTACTTATTTCTTTATTTCAGGGTTTTTTTTTTTCCCCACACACGTTTGTTTACACCTTTCTCTCTTGGGAAAGAGAGAAAGATACAATGAATCTTTCTCTCCATTCAGAGAGGAGGAATAAAACACATTAGCAGGCTGCACAGTGACTGATTGCTGTGATAGCCTCTGATTGTTTATCACAGTGATCAGGTGACCAGGAACACTTAGTATGAGTCCCTGGACTCTCGGTGAAACGGCACACTGTGCCGCACACTCCCAGCATAAATACCGATACTCATTTAAGCGGTCTCATAGGAAAACCCACATCAGTGAGGACGAACACACTATATATAGCTGGCAGGAAGGGGTTAAATTGACAGAATTACTTTAGGGAAGCCAATAGTGTGAAAGACAATGGAGGCTGGTTGGCCACAGAGCTGAACAAAGCCGACCTGTTAAATAGTAAATTGAAAGCGATGACCTGACATCACTTCTGGTTTACTCAGACCTCAGTTTAAAAAAAAAAAAAAAAAAAAAAAAAAAAAAAAAAAAAAAAGTTATAACTAAAATTTCTAGCAAAAAAATACACAAAAACCTGATTACATGTAAATAATGAGAACCAAAAAAAACCTAGGCCTTAAGGGGCTATTCTCCAAAGTTCCTGATCTGCATGCTTGTTTTTGGTAAGTGATTCAGCCAGTCAACTTGTATGTTCAGAACAAGGTCAGAAATGGTAGCCTCCATATTTTTCTCATGATAGGTTAAGAGTTGGATATTTAGGAATAGTACAACAGATAAATGTTGGGGAGAGGTTAAGAGTCACCGATTTATTTTAGGGATTAGAGTGAAGGGTTCAGGAAGACAAAAGGGTAAAATGATGGGCGTGCTTAAAACCAAAGGGTTTCCAAAGTTCGGCTTTGTCTCCCTGAAGAAAACCAGTCTGCTGGTAAACAGCTGGTCCAAGTGCAGGACACCTTGAATAAGCAGTAGCAGAAGGGTAAGCATAGAGGATTGTAGCTTAGTTTAAAAAGTACAAAATTAAAGCGGTTCTAAGGGCTCAGGGTTTTTTACCTTCATGCATGAAGGTAAAAAACCTTCTGTGTACAGCAGCTGCCCCTAACAATTACCAGAGCCCCATCGCGATCCAGCGATGTGCACCGGAGCCTTGGCTTTCCATCCTCACTGGTTCCCGCTGCTGTCAATCATGGCCAGTGAGCCAATGAGAGGGGGAGGAGCTGAGCAGCGGCTCTGTATGTAAATGGACACGCAGAGCAGGGAGTCTGCTTGGGTGCCACCATAGCAAGCTGCTTGCTCTGGGGTCACTAGGTAGCTGAGAGGGGCTAGCGGGGGAGCCAAGAAGGGAGGACTGAGGCTGCAAAACCACTTCGCAGAGCAGGTAAGCATGACTTTTTTTAACCTCTTCCTGTCCGGTGCATGCTGATAAACGGCCGGATGGTAGAGCTGCCGATGTGGGAGGGACATTTCTAAACGTCTCCTCTCATCCATTGCCTGTGCGCACTCCCTGGGAGCGCGCAGCACCCGCGATCTGTGCCCGCTGTCTCCACCAGACACAGCAGAACACAGATCGCTGTACGGGACCTCTGTTCACTACTTGTGAAATCTATGAATGATCACCATGTGACAAGCTGTGACCAATCACGTCTCACAGTATTTCTCAATGGCTGCAGGAATGCAGCCAGAGAGAAAGAGAAATGATTGCTTTTACAGCCTTTATGGGTGTAAAAGCAATCAGAGTAAAAAAAAAAAAAAAAAAAAAAAAAAAAATTCTTTATCACCCCCCACAAGTAATACAGTGTCACTATGGTGGCACTGTACTGCTAGGGTGACAGTATGTAAAAAAAAATACATAATATTAAAAAAAAAGTGTAAATAACTTTTTTTTTTTTTTAAACTAATTTGGGTTCTTTTTTTTCCCTAACAGAAAGATAGCTAAATACATTTTGGCCAAGATTTATAAATAAAGATTATTTATCTGCAAAATTTTATAAGAAAAAAACGTTTTAAAAGATTTTTTGGTCTTTCATTTATATAGCAAAAAAATAAAAATCCCAGTGGTGAATAAGTACCACCAAAAGAAAGGTTTTATCGGTCTCAAAAAAATGCTAAAAATTTCATATGGGTACAGTGTTGCATGACCACGCAAATTAGCATTCAAAATGTGATAGCGCTGAAAGCTGAAAATTGGCTTGGACTGGAAAGGGGGTGAAAATGCCCGGACTTGAAGTGGTTAAATATTGCCTTTAATATATCACTTCAACATGACCCTGTGCTTTGCTCATACTAGTACATAGTTCCTTAGTATATACTCTTTTATTTCAGTACTTATTGGAGCTTACAAAAGGGATTCCTCTCTTCATTCCCAGCAGTTGAATAGACATGGGATGGGGCAGTCAAACCAGGCTGAGTGAGGGGAAAGAGGAGTATGTGATAAGAAGTTAAGAGAACCTGTTGCTTTGCTCTGCAAAACACGTGTTCTTTTTAATATTGTTTAAGCTTGCACTTTTAAGATACTATGAGGCAGATTTACTAAAACTGGACCACTCAATCTGGTGTAGCTGTGCATGGCAGCCAATCAGCTTGTTCCATTAACAACTTGACCTCCAGAGGATTTACTCCCCCTTAATGACCAGGCCTCTTTTTGCTACTCGGCGCTGCACTAATTTAACTGATAATTGTGCGGTCATGCAATGCTGCACCCAAACGAAATTTACGTCCTTTTTTTCACACAAATAGAGCTTTCTTTCAGTGGTATTTGATCACCTGTGCGCTTTTTATTTTTCACGCTATAAACAAAAAAAGGCCAAAAATTTAGTCATAAATTTCTGCCAAAATGCATTCTGCGACATGTCTTTGCTACAAAAAACTCCAATACGTGTAAATTAATTGGTTTACGTGAAAGTTATAGCGTTTACAAATGGCGGGAAAGATACTGGGATTTTTAGGTTTTTTTTTATACTAATAATGGCGGCGATCAGCGACTTATGGCGGGACTGTGGCGGACATTCTGACATTGGAGGGTACTGACTTGGGGTCACTGACATCCCCAGTGACACCAATACAGTGATCAGTGCAAAAAAAAAAACAAAACACTGACACTTGCTAATAGCACTGGGGAGGAAGGGGTTAACTTTATTTTTCAGGGAAGGGTTCTGTGTGAGGGGGGAGTGTTTTACTAGGGGGCGTGTACTGGATGGGGACAGGCTGATCGGGAGAGAGAAAACTCTTCTGTCCCGATCAGCTTATCCTCGAGCTGTCAGGGAAGTGACAGAAAGCACAGTGCTCTCTGTCACTGATTGCCGCCGATCGCCGGGAGATAGCCGGTAAGGACCGGCTGTGACCCGGCGACTGACATCTGCGGCTATGATCGGGGGGGGACAGGTAGGGCGGCGCGCCTCGCGCGCACCCTCTACCTGTTTACAAAAAAACACACGTTTTAAACGTGGTTTTGCCTGCCCATGCCGCCCTGCCAACGTATTTATTCAATAGGAAACAACAATATAAACTGATTAGTAAGGACCCAGTCACACTATTGTGCTGCATTAAACGGTGTGTCATTAAAGCAACCTACTCGTACTTTATTTGAATAGGTTGCTTAAACACATCAAAACGTACTGAAACAATGTCAATTGGTCCGTACAGATTCCTTGCACCGGACTTACCAGATGTCTGATAGAGCCATCTTCAATCTTGCTCAACACTTGATCTGGTGAAAACTGTCCTTTTTTGTAAGCTAAAAGCTGTGACAAATCAAATAAGGGTACTCCTTCTGTGAACAGTTCTGCTATCACACACCCTGCCAAAAAAACACAAACACAATCTGTCAGTATACAAAAAGCACTGTATCTTATTGCTGTAATTCATGAACGTCACAGAAGCCCAAGTTTTTGAAGGTCTGTGTCAAAAGGCCAGACATTTTTATATGTGAAGTTATATCTTCAGCCTCATACAGCTGATTTTCATCTGCCTGTGGATCGTTCCATGTGAGGTCATGCTTATCCCTCTTGCATGTTGACATGGACTATTTGCACATTGCTAAAATTAGAACATTCATACTACATAGCTTCACTATTTTACCAGTGTGTTGCCTTTGTCTTTAATTGCCGTAAAGTGATACTAAACAGAAGTATTCATTGTCATAATTCATACGCATCATGCCAGTGTATTTTGTTTTGTTTTTTTAAATCCTCTCAGTACTTTATTCCTGCAGCACTGTTGTGTGGTCACATGCTCTTTTCCTGTTCTTTGGCATCTGCAGGGGAAGATCCTTGGGTGGGGGCTTCTATTACTCTGCTTAAGTATGTTCTCTACAATTAGCAGAGCGCATCTGCAGTATGACAGTAAACAGTTTCAGAAGAGCAATTCAGACTAAATTAGAAAAAAAACCTTTGATTTTTATTACTGTAAAATCCAATTCTCCGAGTTAATCTGCAGGCACAGCTCTCCTATTCTTGACCATAGGATTCTACAGCCACCTACAGGAGGACACTAGGCAGAAAAAGAACATAACACCACCTATGGGCAGTCCTAGCTGGTATATAAACCCCCTCCCTGCTATAGACAAGCCAATTAGTCAAAAAAAAAAAAAAAAAAAAAAAAAAAAAAAAAAGGGGGGGGGATGAATGAGAAGAGGGCTTTCCTATGAGCTGCCACAAAATTCAAATGAACAAAGCTGCTGCAAACCCTTATGTGTTCCCACACAAATCTAACAGTACTGTAAAAATGGTGCTGCTCACTTCTCACAATCAATAAATCAGTAATATAATGTATATAATATAGTAATATAATGTATCAGTAATATAATGTGATCAAAAAAATAAACAAAATTTATAAATCAATAAACACCCACCAAAGGGTCTAACATACATATGATAATATATGTGAAGTCATCAATTTATGATTAGTAGAAATCAGATTACATAGGCATAAATCATCAGCTATCCCTAATGAAGTCATGTGGTACATGACGTAACTAGTAAGACAGAAGCCTGGTGAAGTCACTTCGGAAGCTGCTACCTTGGTACACCTTTATCCCTGTATATGGGTTCTGTGAGTCACCAGATCTCTGCTCACAGATAACTGAGTGATCAACAGTCTTTGATCACTCAGTTTTCAGTCTACGAGCCAGCAGGGAACCAATCCACCTAGGTAAGTTGGTTTCTAAAGAATGACACTTTTCTATTAATGACACTTTAAATGTATACCGCTATTGAGGTGTTGGAAAGTCTGGGAATGACAATGTTATCACAATATTTTAATAACAGCTGGATATTTTTAGGTTGTGGTTTACATTTAAGTTTATTGTACTGTGCAATTCAATAAAATTTGTTGTGATACCCTTCCCTTATAACATTTCCAGTTCTGTTTCATATGCTGCTTGGTTTGGGACAGTGGTATATACACGAGACATTTTATTAAACTTACAGGATCTTTGTGCAGGAAAGGGTCTTTTTTTTTGCATTTACACATACAGTACCTGCACCAGCCTTTCAAACTTTCCTGTCAGAGTCAAACGCCAGACCTTTCTGACAAGCGTGCTTCAACACTTTTATGCGGTATCTGTGTTTCTTCCTAAGCTCTGCCTCAAACCTTCCTTTGGCCCACCACGATAGGCAGCCTCACTGGGCAAAAGGAACGCACAGGAGGTAGGAAAATGTAGCAAAGCTTTGGCATGATCATAAAGTGCTGAATTTTAGCCTGCCAGAACAAACTGACATTTGGAAATGTTAGGAAAGTTTTGGAGACTACTACAGTAACATTCCTGCTCTTCACACCTTCAACGTTGCCCCCTCTTTTATTTTTTACGGTTATATAGATTGGCCTACTATTGTCTGTCCATCTCTGACTTTACACATATATCCAACAATAGAACCACCATATATGCAATGTGACGGTTTGTGCACGCTTCAATACAAGTACCTGACTCAAACCTTTCCTTCCAACCTCATGTCCAATCCCTATCAAAGTCATGCAGGCTCCACCTCCGCAACATCTCCAAGATACGTACGTTCCTCACCCCAGACGCTACTAAACAACTCGTACACTCCCTCATTATCTCATGCCTGGACTACTGCAACTCCCTTCTCACTGGCCTAACCAAACAAACGCTATCCCCACTCCAGTCTATCCTGAACTCAGCGGCTAGACTCATCCACCTCACCAACCGCTCCACATCTGCCACCCCCCTCTGCCAATCCCTTCACTGGCTCCCGATTGCCCAGCGCATTAAATTCAAACTACTAACTCTGACATACAAAGCCATTCACAACGCTGCCCCAAACTACCTAACCGACCCGATACCCAAATACCACCCTACCTGTGCCCTTCGCTCCTCACAGGACATCCTACTCTCCAGCTCCCTTGTCTCCTCCTCTCACGCTTGACTGCAGGACTTCTCCAGGACTTCCCCCATCCTCTGGAACTCCCTACCCCAATCCATCAGACTATCACCTACCCTCCTCACCTTCAGGCGCACCCTGAAAACCCACCTCTTCAGGGAAGCCTACCCCACCCTCACCTAACAACCGATCTCCTCCACTCCTCCTACCACTCCATCCCCCACAGCCACTTCCTCCTGTACCACTATCGCCTCCCTCCTAGATTGTAAGCTCGAAAGAGCAGGGCCCTCAAACTCCTCATGTATTGTATTGTATGGTCTCATGTTCTGTCCCCCTCGCTAATGTACAGGGCTGAGCAAACCCTTTGGCGCTATATAATTACTGTATGATAATAATAATAATACCTGCAGAGAAGATATCCATAGCTCGCTTAAGGTCTCCCCGAGTTCGTTGGTTGTTGTTTGTCAGGTCAACCAGAGGTGTAGAAGGTCCTCTGTGGAAAAAGTACTTCCATCCACAAACCTCTCTGGGGCTATATAACAAGTTCTTCTACGGGAAGTATCAAAGAAGTAATTGAAATCTGCAGGGTTATCTTCTGGAAGATACGTTGGCTTGAAACTTGCAAAGTCTGTGAGAAGCACCCAGTTCCAACTGGTAACCATTACATTTTCTGTCTTGATATCTCCATGACACACACCAGATTTGTGTGCCTGGTCCACAGCCGTTAGGATCTGGAATGCAATCCATCGCTTCTCAATGTTGTTTAGAAAAGGCCGGGTGCTTATACGGTCATACAGGTTGTCTCTAACATATTGTCTAAAAAGTAGAGCAGCTTTCTCATTCAGGGTAAACTTCTGAAAAGGAAGGCAGTTCTGGGACGAACAAAGACGAATTTTTAACTCCTCAAGTTCCTGCTTATAATTGGTGAGTGGAAGAGATGGGTCTTGGATAGCAAATACTTTGACCACGACCAAACCCTCACGGTGCTTGGCCCGAGCAACCTTAAAGAACCGTGTACTTCCCAGGCTCTTGTCATACTCAAAATCATGGATATCTGAAAAATAGCTATCCACAGACAAGATCTGAGATGGGGCAATTCCTGCTAACTGGTTGCCCATGATGCATTCACTTTTCTCATCTGTAACCTGGTGAATTTACAAGGCAACTGAAATACACAAAAAAAAAAAAAAAAAAAAAAAAAAGAAGATAAAATCAGTTTTAAAAAATGGAATTATAAGAGATTTAAAATTTTAAACGAGAACATAAAACAGTAAAGCAAGAACTACTTAAAGCAAATTTCTGTAACATGTGCCATTCAAAATGTACAGCGGGTAAAATAACTAATGAACACGTCACCATTTTTCCAGGTAAATATATTTGTAATAGGGAAGCACAGAAATTTCAGCGGCCGAAACATATCAGCCGATAATAGCCCTATCGGCATTTTGCTGTTATAGGTGCCAATAGGGGGCTGTATTTACTGCAGATGTTGGGGGGGGCATTGGAGAAAGGCAGGAGAGGAGCAGTGTATACAGTGAGCTACCTCTAAATGTCACTGCTGTCTTTTTAAATGTAATTACCGGTTCCCCCCCCCCCCCTTCAGTATAGCTCCAAGAATGAGCTGTCATTCTCCACTCCACTAAAGGAAACCTAGGGGCGGGGTCACTGGGTGACCCCACCCTTTAGTGGAGGGGAGAATGACAGCTCATTCTCGGAGCTATAGTGAAGAAAAAAATCCTTAGTTAGACTTACCAGTGACTATTTCTAGGAGCCTTTCAGGACAGCACCTGGAAAGAGCACAGCTCCACCCATAACACAGGAAACAACGTAACTTAAAAGTTCGCCTCTTTCACCATGCCCTCAGTTATAGCAGAATAACCTCTGACAGGAGAAGGAAGAAGGAGAAAAGAAGAAAGAAGAAGTATAAATGTGGAAAAACTGGACCACGCAGCTGCATTGCAAATCTGTTCTGGAGATGCACCAGCCTTTTCACCCCAAGAGGCCGCCACTGATCTTGTAGAGTGTGCTGCAACCCCCTCCGGAGGAACTTTTTCTAATGCCCCATAGGCTTCTTTGATGGCCTGTGAGCCATCTGCTTAGAGTACTCTTGGAGGATTTCTCCCCTTTGCAGTTTCCCGTAAAGAGTATAAACAAGGAGTTAGACTTTCTGAACCCCTTGGACACTTCCAAAAATCTCAGACGACATCTCCTCACGTCTAGCGTATGAAATGCCTCTTCCCCTGGATTAGCTGGAGCTGTACAGAAGGTAGCCAATACCATTTCCTACATACAATGAAAGGACGAGGAGATTTTTGGAAGAAAACCCGGATTCATTCTGAGGGCCACTCAGTCCAGAAAAAAAAAAAAAAAAAAAAAAAAAAAAAAAGGGGTTCGGAAATTGACAGCACATGAATCTCACTTATACTTCGAACTGATGTAATGGCAGTCAGAAAAATGGTTTTTAGAACTAAAATTTCACACTGACAAAATCCCATTTCAGAAAAAATAACTGAAACTGGATTGGTTCTGGCCAAAGCTTACAAAGAAAAAAAAAAAAAAAAAAAAAAAAAAAAAAAAAAAAAAACACACCCACACTAAATTAGCACCTCCTGGGATAACCTTTTCTCCAGTAATGCAGGTAAAGCTGCTACTTGAGATTTAAGGGTGCTTGCAGCTAGGCCCTTCATTCTTTTATGGAGAAATTCCAGGACTGACATGACTGTTCACCTGGAAACCCTTCTCTGAACACCAGGAGTTATACCTTCTCCATACTTTCAGATATATCGCTCTAGTCACTTCTTTCCTGCTTGAGCGTAAGGTGGCAATAAGCTTATCCAATAGCAAATTCTTCTAAGGAGTTCTTAAAGAACCACGCTGTTAGGTTGAACCGCTCCACTTCTGGATGCAGCACTAGCCCTTGGACTAGCAAATCTTTTCTGATCGGCAGCTTCCAGGGGGTCTGGAGGATAGATTCCAAAAGCATCAAGAACCAAGGCCAGTAGGGTGCTATCAGGATTAGATTTGTGATTCCCAGTTTGAACTTTTGAAGCTCTAGAGGAATGAACTGAAATGGGGGGGGGGGGGGGGGGGGGGGGGGGGGGGGGGGGGGGAAAATGAAACACGTAGGACAAAGGGTAATTCCAGGGATGAGCTAGCACGTCCAGGCCTGCTATAGTATTGTCCCATAGGACCTGAATGTACTGCCCTTTCGCCGACTGCTGAAAGGAAAGAAGACTCAGCTGGATGGCTTTCAATTACCTCCAGTTTGAGGACTTCCTGGCCTTCGCTTTGGACCACGGGCCTTGTGCCTGACTGATCTCCGAAGTGGGCTCCCCACCCCCATGCACTTGCGGCTGTTGTAAAGTGTTCGGCCTTTGGAAAGGACCATGGCAGGCCCCTCCCTAAATTGGTTGGATCTCGCCACCAAGAAGCCCTCTTCACCTTTGGAGCAAGTCTTATAGGAGTGTCCAGAGGATCTTGATATGTCCACTTTCGCAGAATGTCCCCTGGAGGGGGCAGTAATGGAATCTGGCCCACTGAACTGCTGAGATGGCAGCGTTAAGCAGTCCCAGAATGGACATGGCCACTCTGACTGACACCAGCAGGTTGCACTGAACCTGCCTCAGGGCAGACTGGATCCTTTCTATTTTCTCCTCCGGAAAAAATATCCTCTGTTGAACGGAATCTATGACATATCCCAGGAACCTTATTCTCTGGGCCAGAATCAAGTTGGACTTTCCCAGATTTAACAGCCATACCAAGCTTCTCAGATGAGCTAGAGTTGTCTGAAGATCTAACAGCACCTGCGTCCTGGTTTCTGCAAACACGAGTAGGCCGTCTAAGTATGGCATCACCGAAATTCCTGTCAACCTCAGAGGCTCTAGTGCTTCTGCCATGACCTTGGTGAACACGCTTGGAGAAGATGACAGGCCGAAGGGTAGTGCCCTGAACTGCAGGTGCCAGATGGACGATCCCAGATTGACCGCCAGTTGAAGGAACTTGAGAAGACTATGCTATCGGAATATGAAAGTAAGCATCCCGCAGATTGATAGTCGCCATAAAGCAACCCAGGAACTGCAATTTCCTCACTGAAAAAAAATTGCATCCATGCAGAAGTGCTTGTACCAAAATAGATTTGTTCAGCAACTTCAGATTCAAGATTATATGGAACTTCCCTGAAGGCTTTTGGACTAAGAAGAAGATATGCAAGTCAAACCTCCGAGCCTTCTTGTTCCCTTGGCACCTGAATGAGGACCTCCTGCTGCATCAGTTCCTTCAAAAGGGATGTCATTGCTGAGGCCATCTCCTGACTCCTTGAGAGACTGGTCACAAAATCTGATTGGTGGGGTCGAAAGGCACTTGATGTTTTTTTTCCCAGTGAGGAGAAGGCCCGAAGCCTCCCTCTCACCAGAAGAGATGTCATTGGCTCTTGGACAACCGCTTTGGGGGTCTTAAGAGTACCCCCCCCCCTTTACCCCTGTTTCTCTGGAAACTCCCATTTCTTTTCTGAGTCTGTTCCTCATTTCTTTGGGTTTGTGAAAAGGACGAAAATTCTTTATGACCGATTGCTTGTTATTTTTCAACGGGAAAGCCTTTTTCTTATCCGCCATTCTATCCAGCACCGATTACAGATCTGCGCCAAAGAGCAGGTCCCCAAAACGGGGGATTCCGCATAACTCCACCTTAGAAGCAGTGTCTTCCAACCAGGCCTTGAGCCAGATGGCTCTCCTTGCCAAGTTGACCAATGCCAAAGACCTAGTTGTCATTCTGATAGATTCTGCAAAAGTGTCAACCATATACTTTACGGCTTTTAGAAGGACCGGGAATGACTACAAAAGCTCCCTCCTGGAGGTCCCTGCCTTGACATGATCCCTCAGCTGTTCTAACCAGTACGCCACATTTCTCGCCACTACCGTGGAGGTTATAGCCGACTTGAGGTTGATCAGGGAAGAGTCCCACGCTTTAAGGAGTGAGTCTGCCCTCTTATCCATTGCATCCTTCAGAATGCCCATATCCTCAAAAGCCAAGCCAGTGTACCTTGAAACTTGAGAGAAAAGGCTGCATCCAACATCGGTTTCTTATTCCACACCAAGGACTCATCTTCCTCGAAGGGAAACCTTCTTAGGGATTTGGTAAAGAAAGGGCCCCTTTCTGGATCCTTCCATTCTCTCTTTACTGAGTCTGATAATACCTGATGGACTGGGAAGACTGTTTAGGACACTAGCTCGCTCTTCCTCTGAGTCACCGATTTCCTTCTGGCCTGAAAAGGATTTCCGTGGACTAGACAAGGTTCTCTGCTGCAAAGCTGGGTGAAGCATCCACAGTTTATCCAAAAAGGATCAGAACGACCCCAGAATCTTCAACAACTCCTTCATGACAAATGCAAACATGTCACTGCATTGCTGAAAAGATTCTTCTTTTACTAAATCTGCCACACATGCTTTACTTTTTGGCCATGAATCTCTCAGGTTATTCCTACAAGATGGACACTTCCTTTTAACTGACGTGATCCCCTTTGTCTTGACCGTGGCCTTGTTTTGAAATATAGGAAAAGGGGCAGGACAACAGGAAAAATCCACGTCAGGCTCCTGTCCAGCCGGAACCTCCTCAGCCCAACCTCCTAACCCGCTGTGCAAAGGGGAGAGGGAAGACTTAGTCCACAATACCCCCAAGTCATCCCCCTGAGCCGTGGAACAGAGCGGAGTCACCTCTGTGCCACAGCACCAGGCTTCCAGGGAAGGCAATAAAAAAAACAAAAAAAGGAGCCCCACAATAAGGATAGAATGCACCACTGTAACCCCCCCCCCCCCCCCCCCCCCCCCGCTACTTGGGCTAGGCTGGTGCATGATGCGCCTGCTCCTGCCACCGCTGCTGGACCCTCTGTCTCCTCTATCCTGCAGAGAACACAGTTTGCCAAGACCTGTGGTCCTTTAACGTTCCCACCAGTCTGTGCTGGTGCCCTGAAGCATCTGCCAACCTGCCTCCTCCCCTTGCGTTCCAGTGGCTGGAACCAATGAAGCCACACCCCTGCCAGAAGTCCAGCCCACCAGCATGGCATCCCCCACCGGCCGCACCTGCCAGGACCTTGGGAAATTTCCCAAGGCTTTACATGGCCTGG